GTCGTGTCAACGCTGGAAGAGCTGCGCGCTGCATTCTTCACCCTCGACCGCAGCCAACCCGTCCACATGCAGGTGTTGCGCCAGCGGCCAGACGCGCAGCCCACAGACCCTAACAGTACCAACGGTCGCAGCAACGAAGATGCCATCATCAGTGACGGTGCTGATGGGGGTGATGGTGAAGTTGGTGCCAGCGTTGCAGGGGCAGCAGCACATGAGCGTGAAGGCGAAGAAGAAGCAGAAGAAGGAGCAGCTGACGGCTATGAAGGCGCCCAGGGAAGTGATGAAGGTGCAGTGGCGTGGGAAGATGGCACAGTGGACCTCGGTGCCAACACCCGCAGCGGCGGGCGCGAAGCAGGCGAAAACGGCGATGCTGGCACGACGCAATCTAACACAGATACGGAGCCCGCAGCAGGCTCCTCCTCCTCCTCCTCATCATCATCGTCATCATCATCGTCATCATCATCGTCATCGCAGGGTGGGGACGATGACGGCGCGGGTGATCCGGCTGCGCTGCACGAGCTGCAGTCTGAGGAGGACCGGCTGGAGGCAGAGTACCTGCAGCAGCACCACGCAGGCACCACGGGCAGCGATGGTGGTGATGGTGGTGATGGTGGTGTGGCACGGGAGGGAGTGCGGGATGATGGACGGGAGGGTGGTGACAAGACGGGGCTGGCAACGAGCTGGGGCGACGACGACGACGCCGTGCTCATGGAGCAGAAGGAGGAGGAGGAAGAGTGGGAGCAGGAGCAGCGGGCAGAGGAGCAGGAGGAGGAAGGGGTACAGGGGATTGCGCAACAGCGCAGTGGTGCTGTTGATGGCGGGGAAGGAGACTCGGCCGTCGACACGGGCGTGTATGGCGACGGAGAGAGCCAGCAAGCGGCCGAAACGGGGCAGTATGGCGAGCAAATTGACGGTGAGACGAATGGACAAGGCTTTGAGGGCGAAGACATCCTCGTGACAGGCACGGACGCGACACAGCAGGAAGGCCGCGACCAGCAGGGACAGCACAACGCTGCCACAAGCTGGGGCGATGACGATGTTGCTGGTGATGGTGATGGTGGTGATGGTGGTGATGGTGGTGATGGTGACCACGTGAGGCAACAACAACAACACCAGCAGCAGCAGGAGGAGGAAGGCGAGGAAGGCAAGGAAGGCAGCCTGCTTGATCAGCAGGAGCAGCAGCGCGAGCAGGTCAGCTGGAAGCAGAACGAACCGCAGCAGCAAACAGAGAGCCGTCGCCCGCACTCGCCTGGCGATGGCGGTGACAGGGGCGAAGATGCACCAGCCACGACCACCTCCACGTCGGCGTCACCGGGAACAGAGACACCCGAGGACCAAGAAGTCGAAGAAGACGAGGAAGAAGAGGTCTCGTCCTCATCCACCACCACAGGGGCGAACGGCGTGCACCAAGGGCGCACGTACGAGCAGCGCAACGAAGGTGATGCTGGCTTTGAACGGCAAGAGCAAGAGCAACAGCAACAGCAACAGCAGCCGCACGGTGAAACTCGCAGCACAACGGCAACGAAGGCGGTGGATGGTGGCACCACCAGCACCACAACAAGCGCATCGTCCACGCCAACGCCACCCACCACCTCGGATGTGATGCGGGACGAAGAAGCAAAGCATGGCAAGGGCCACACGAATGCAATTGCTGCTGGTGACGACCACGCCGACGATGATGATGATGTCGCTGCTGCGGCCGATGATGATGATGATGATGATATCACGCGTGGTGACGGTCTACCACCACGGCAGGAACACCAACAGCAGCAACAGGAGCAACAGGAGCAACAGGAGCAGCAGGCGGGGAACGAGGGCGACTCGTGGTTCACGGCCAACGACCAGGAGGAGTACGACGCCGTTGCGCAACACCAATACGAGGAGGAGGCGCGACACGACACCAACGCCAACAGCAACAGCAATACCAACAACGGCTTGAATGCGGACCCAGGTGCAGAGGAGACAGCGTCGACGGAGCCGTCGTCGTGGTTCAGGGACGAGGAGAGCCAGCTTGACGGGCAGCGGGCGGAGCTGAGGGAGAAGGTGACAGCGGTGCGCCACCACATTGATGAGGACTTGGCCACGATGAAGCGGAACGAGGACACCCTACGCACACACACGCGCCACAACACCGCCGGAAACACGGACACGGCGACAATGAGGCAGCACGAAGAGCAGCTGCTGCAGCAGCAACAGCGGTCGCAGGGGGATGGTGTTGGCAGCGAGGGGCAGGAGGGGGATGGACTGACGTATATGTCTGAGTCTGAGCAGTGGGAGAAGAAGCATGAGCAGGAGCACGTGTTGGAGGAGACGGACTACGAGGAGGCTGCAGAGGCCTCGAGCTTCCCCGTGTTTGGGGTGATGCTGGTGGTGATTAGTGTGGTGTTGGCGCTTGTGTTCCAGCGCAAGATCAAGAGCTTGGTGCTTGGTGGCGGTGCGCACCAGCACGGCCGCCGCCATCGCACCTACTCCCGACGCAGGTAGCATGCACACACGGTCACAACTGGTGATGATTGGGGGGGGGGGGGAAGCGGTAGCATTTGATGTGGCAGTGACGACGTGGTGAAGGTGATAGGGTTATGGTGGTGTGGGGATGAAGTTGCAATCTCGTGTTGTGTGCTGTGCTGTTTGCAGTGGCCTGCGCGTGGTTGTAAGCAGTGGCAGGTGTGTATTGTTCTTCCCCGTTCCTGTTCTTGGTCTTGTATTTGGCGGTTGCACCTCTTAGAATTTCAAGCAACTGATAATTGTAGCAGGCAATTGAAGCGGGGACAGGGCACCATCGTGCTGGTGGTGGTCGTGGTAATGGTGGCTTCAGCCTGCACAGCACAGAGCATAGCGCAGAGCATGCGCAGAACAGCGCAGAACAAAGCGCAGAACAAAGCGCAGAGCACAGCGCAGAACAAAGCGCAGAGCACAGCGCAGAGTGTAGCGCAGAGCACACACACACACACACACACACACACACACACACACACACAAGGCGGGAAAATATACAAATGATATTGCTATTTTTCGACCGTTGACAACGAGTGGCGACAACACCACCAGACAACCACCCAACAGTGGCTTTGCGATACAGCAAGCCAGCCAAGACACACACCTGCCTCACACACCTGCCTCACACACCACCAACAACACCAAAGTCGCACGCTCACTCGTCGGCGCACACCCACGCAAGGGATTTCACCTCTGTGTGTGGTGGGTCGGTTGTAACCGCCCTTGCTCGCACACCCGGGCAACAGCAAGGATGGACGACAAACGCGTGCAGTGGGTCATCTCCGAGGTGGCGCGGGGCCTCTCCGTGGATCGCGCGCTTGTGGAGGCGGCCCTCGAGCCAAAGGCCGACCAGCCAGACGCAGATGACGTCGTGGACGTGTTTGAGCGATCCGTCCCCGGCAACTTTCTCTTCACGCGTGAGGTGACGCTGAAGGAAGTCGTTGTCACAGATGAAGACCAGCAACCACAACAACAACAGCAACAGCAACAACAAGAACAAGCGCAAGAGCAACAAGAAGGCGAAGAAGACAAGGAAGGAGAAGCGCAGCAGCAGCAAAGCCAGGCCGATGGCGACAAAGAAAGCGGCGCCAAGGGCCAAGACGAAGCAGGAGCATCAACAACAACAACAGCAGCAGCAACAGGCGATGGTGCTGGCGCAGCGCAGGAGAGCAAGCGTTCCTCCTCCGATGTCGCTGCCAAAACCGCGCAAGCCAACGCGCAGGTGTCCCGTTCGAACCTTGGCACACCCAGCATCAAAGTGGAGGACGAGGACGGTGACAAGAAGTCAAAGGAGGGAGGCACTGACGACAAGGCAAGCAAGGGCCCGCGCCCACCTTCTTCACGCGACAGCAAGAGCGCACGCGGGCGACGCCCAACACGCAGCCGACCAACCTCCTCTGTCCGTAGCAGCAAGCGCGCAAGCGCACGTGGCTCGCGCGGCAAGAGCGCCAGCAAGTCTCGCCGTAGCGATGATAGCGACAAGGCGCAGGCTGACAACAAAGACGCGGCCGCCAGCACCAACAAGCAGGCCGAGGGCACATCCGCGGACCAAGCCAACAAAGACGGCAGCGCCGACAAGACCATCGAGCAGGCCCTGGAGGAAGAGCTGGCAAGCGCAACCGTGCTCAAGACCAAGGTCGTGGAGGAGGTGCACGTGCGCCTGGAGGTGAACACGGTGCCCTCTGTCGCTGCAGAGTCGCAGTCCATGTACTTTTTCAAGATCACGCCCCGTGAGCTGCCTGCCGTCAAGGATGCCTCGGAGGCGGAGGAGATGCTGTCCAAGGAGCTGCAGTATGGCGTGCTCGGCCGCAACTCCCTCAAGATGCTCGATCACGTGCGTTGGCACGTGTGTGTTTTGTTGTGCTGTGTTGTGTTTTGTTGTGCTGTGCTGTGTGCTGTGTGCTGTGTGTGTTGTGGAGTGCATTTGTTTCCTGAATGCTTTTGACATGATGTGCAAGTGTGCCGTGTGCCTTAAAGCACGACCATACTCCTACTCTGTCCCACAGCCCTCGCCCACCCGATCTTTTGCTCACCTCTCTCTCAACTTTCTCTCACCGCATGCAACCCCCCCCACCACTACCACCACCACCGCCATCATCTCCCGCCTGTTTTCTGTGTTGTACGCGCAACAGATTATCGGCAAGGTATATCTGCCGATGCTTGAGGGCATCCGGCAATATGAGGAGCGCCAGCGCCAGCGACAGGAGGAGGATGGCGGTGCACTCTCTGCACAGCCCAGCACGATGGGCGACGATTTTTTGGTCACCCTGCGCCGGTTCAGCCAGCACCTGCGCCGCACCATCACGCACGTCGAGGGCGAAGTCAAAATTGACTTTCCATCCAACCTGCCCGACATGATTGAGAAGGCCAGGGGCTGCTCAAACGCTGAGGACGTGAGTGAAGCAACGTGGTTGTGTGTGTGTGTGTGAGAGTATATGGTGCGCTGTTTGTTGTTCTGTGTATTGTTCCGTGTGTGTGTACGTATTTTTTGTGTCCTGTGTATGTTTGGTGTGTGTGTGTGTTGTGTCATGTGCGTATATGTGGTGCGCGTGCTGTGTTGTACTGTAGGCCATGGTCGCTTTTGATATGCTCGTCATGTCATGTTCGTTGCTTGTCCCGGATCGCCTTTTCTGCTCACATTCCTCCATGATCACCCCCATGACCACCACCATGACCACGACCACCAGCCCGAGATGCTGCGCCTGACGAGCGTAGTTGAGGAATGGGATGCGGTCATGGAGGGCATCCTGGACTCCACGCAGAAGCGCGAACCCGCCGGCCCCGGGCCCCAGGCGGAGATTGAGTACTGGGCCGAGCAGAACGCTACCCTCACCGCCCTGGCAGAGCAGCTCGAACGCAAGCAGGTGTGCGCGCGTGTGCGCGCGTGTGCATGCGTGTGTGTGTGTGCGTTTGTGTGTGTATACGTGTGTGTTTGATGTATGTGTGTGATGTATGTGTGTGATGTACGTTTGTGTTTGATGTATGTGTGTGATGTACGTTTGTGTGTGTATACGTGTGTGTTTGATGTACGTGCGTTTGTGTTGTCTCAGCCATTTCTGTTACGGTTCTTCACTCTTTTTGACACTTTCATCCATGTCATGCCTCCATCCTCCTCTCTTCCCCTCCATCGAATCCAACCACACCCCTCCCGCACATGTGTTCGCGACAGGTGACGCAAGTGCTTGATCTGCTGCGCATGGTGCACTGCCCCGAGTTGGAGGCGTACGACTTCCACGCCGCCCAGCTCGCCAGGCGCCGTGCCGAGGCAAAGGACAACGTCAGGTTCCTGTCCACCCTCGAGCGGCATTTCAAAAACATTGCACAGGCATCCACCTTCGACCAGGCCTCAGGTGCATGCGTGGGCGTGGGATGAAGGGGTGTGTGTGTGTTGGGGGAGGGAACTGAGAAGAGAAGGAAGGGTGATTTGTTTGTATTTGTAGTTGTGTCGTGTGCGTGTGCTTGTGTGTGTGTGTTTTGTATTGGTATGTGTTCGCTGCTCTCGCCGGCAAGCAGTCGTGAAACGATCATCTCATCCTTCGCTATTGTGTGTGTGTGTGTGCAGAGCATTTGCCGGCGCTGATGAATGCGCTGCGGATGGTGTGGGTCATCTCCCGCCACTTCAATACAGACGCAAGGTGCACAGCACCCACCCTTGAACGTTTGCATCATGCTTGCATTTGTAACACAGCCTGAACGAATACATTCCTTAATGCAACACACACACACACACACACACACACACGCACACACACATATACACACACGCACATGCGCATTTTCGTGCGTTGGTTGGTTTCGCTGTTTTGCTCACCTCCATCGTGCCTGTTGTGTATGTGCATGCAGGATGGTGCCTTTGATGGAGAGGATTGCGTGGATGATCCGCAACAAGGTACCGTTGCCATGGTGATGCTTCAACTGGTATCACCATCCGCCATTAACTCGACGCAATGACACACACACACACACAGACCCACATACTCACACGCATGCGTGATCACGCTCACGTTCAACACATCCTCATGTTGTTGTCGTCTGCGTTCCTACCCACCGTATGTTCGCAGGTGTCACGACTTGTTGTGCCGAAGGTGCTGCTGCGCCAGAACACGCCCCAGCAGGCCATGGACCTGTGCGCATCTGCTCGCAAGTTCCTGCACGCGTGGGAAGACAACTACCTGCAGGTATGAGCAGGGGCACCATGCATGCGTTTATTTTTATTTTATTTTTTGCTTTTCTTTGTGTGTGTGTGTGTGTAAGTGTGGTGTGCGTGGTTTGTAAGCTGTGATAGGACTCTGACTTTGTGCACACGTTCTCTGTTCAACCACACACGCATGCACGCATGCACGCATGCACGCACACACGTACTCACACGCACACACGTACTCATACACACACACTTGCGACATGACCCGCTGTGTCATTGCAGGTCCGCGAGAAGATTGAGACGCACGGGCGGGACGCGCGCTGGGAGTTTGAGCGCTCGCGGCTGTTTGGAGCGACAAACTACATGGCGGACATCTGCGACGACCTGTACAACATTGGCAAGGTGCTGCAGGAGTTTTACAACATCTTTGGGCAGGAGCTCAAGTCTGTCACGGGCAACCCGCAACTGATTGAGGACGTGGTGAAGCGTGTGGGCAGCATGGTGGACTTTCTGTACACGCTCCCCTTTGACGCGTTCGATCAGGTGCGACCATGACGTGTGCCTGGTTGCGTGTGTGTGTGTGTGTGTGCGTGCGTGCGTGCGTGCGTGTGTGTGCGTATATGTGTGTGTGTTGTGTGCGTGTGCGTGTGTGTGTGTGTGTTGTGTATCTGCGTACTGAAGCACTCGATGTCAGCCACCTGCTTCGCCACATGCATCTCACACATGGCCCAACCGACCCACCACAACAATTGCAGGAGCATGCTGAGGACTGGAAGCAGTGCATGGACTCGTTCAACGAGGAAGTGAAGACGATTGAGAGCGAAGCTGTGTACTTTATCGATACGTCGTTCCGCACACTCCGCAGCGCAGAGGTGCGGCAGCGTTCGTGTTCATTTGGTGCTTGTGTGCATGTGTTTGTTGACTGGCTTGTGTGTGTGTGTGTGTGTTTTGTGTGTGCGTGCGTTTGTGTAGCATTCGACTAGCTGCTTTCCTGTGCTCCCCCACTCATTTCATGCCACCCACTGCCACCCCCATTGTTGTTTCTTCTCTCTCTCTCTGCTTCTTTTCCTTTTCAACCACCACCAGGGAGCGTTTGACATGCTGCAGAACTTCCAGCACATTCGCTCGCGGGACACTATCAACACCCAGCTCGCACAAAAGTACAACGACGTCCTCAACAAGTTCTGCCAGGAGGTACGCGCCCACACATGCACACCACTCCTTGCCACTGAGGGCTGTTCATGCTTCTCGCGTGATTCCACTCTTCAAACACACACACACACACACACGCACACACACACACACACGGACATGCACGCAAAAGCAGCGCACGTTTCACCGAGACACACTACAGCCAGCACACGTTTCACCGAGACACACTACAGCCAGCACACGTTTCACCGAGACACACTACAGCCAGCACAGCATCCTCACTCATCACGGGCCCTCAACTTGACCTGCTCACTGCTGCGCCCCTCGTCACCTTCCCCAACACATCTGTTGCACTGCAGGTGACGGAGGTTGAGACGATGTTTGACAAGCACAAGGACAACCCACCGCGTGCGCTGAACTTGCCGCCCGTGGCGGGTGCCATCAAGTGGGCGCGCTCTCTCTTTGAGCGCATCAAGGCCACCGTGCTCAAGTTCCAGACACGCAAGGGCATGCTGGAGTCTGAGACGGGCAAGAAGACGGCGGAGCTGTACCTGACTGTGGCCAAGCGCATCCGCGCGTACGAGAAGACGCTGCACAAGACGTGGTTCAACGAGACGGAGGAGATGCTGCCAGCCCTGCTGCGCCAGCACGTGCTGTCGCTGGACACGGCGCGCATGGCGCAACTGCGCGCTGAAGCGGAGGCAGAGGAGCTGCGAGCAGCACAGGCCGCTGCCGACAATGGCGACGGTGACGGTGGTGATGGTGATGGTGATGGTGATGGTGCAAACGCGAACGAGGACCGCAACAGCACGGCAAACAAGCGCAACAGCATCATCAACAACAAGCGGGGCAGCATGATGAACAGCAAGAAGCAGAGCAGCAACAGCAGCACGGCACTTGCAAGCCGCACGGCAAGCATGCACCGCCTCAAGGCCAAAGGCGGCAGCCAGCACAGTCTGGTGAGCGGCCTGAGTGCGCAGCAGTCCGTGCACGTGGTTGATTCTGACGGCAACACGCTTGAGAGCGGATCGTTTGACCGTTTCACCCGCCTGAAGGTGAACTACGCACCACAGCTTCGCGAGCTCATCAGCGAGGCCAAGCAGATTGATATTCTGCAGTTGGACGTGCCGGAGCTCGCTGTGAACATCACCCTGCAAGAGCAGAAGCACATCAGCTTCATTGACAGCCTCAATGGCGCGCTGAGCAGGCTGCACGAGATGCTTGCGTCGCTCACGCCGGCGACAGAGTCGCTGCTGCTTGACCACCTGACCAACCTGGCCGTGGTGGTGATGCCTGGCCTGCATCGCCTCAACTGGAACTCGCTCGGTATCTCTGACTATGCCGACCGCTGCCAACAGGCCATCAGCACCTTTGAGGCCATTCTCCTTCCCATTGAGGTGTGTGTGTGTGTGTGCATGTGTGTGCATGTGTGTGCATGTGTGTGCATGTGTGCTTTGTGGTGTGCATGTTTATGCATGTGTGCACGTGTGTGTGTGTGCATGTGCTGAGTGCATCTCTGTGTATGTGGATGGGCTTTGCTTCGAAACGTTTCTGCATGAACACTTCTCTCCACCCCTCCATCGTCCATCCCTCCAGCTAAGATGCTTCACACATGCTTCACGCGCTGCCCCCCCCCTCCTTGCACAGAAAAATGAGCGCGACATCAACGAGATTCTGTACTCGTTCGAGACTGCGCGGCTGTTCCGCAAGTACGGCATGTTCCCGGCAAAGGTGCGGGCGCTTGGGCGAACGCAGCGGGAGTCTGGCACCGCTGAGGACGCAGAGGGCGACGACAAGGACGAGAATGGTGGCAGCAACACCGACGCAGAGACAGACACGGAGGGCGAGGCCAGCCCAACCCCGTCCACCATGTCCTCCACAGCAGACGCCGTGCCAGGTATGTTGTGTGTGCTGTGTGTGTGTGTGTTGTGTGTATGTGTGTGCTGTGTGTGCGTGTTGTGTGTGTGTGTGTGCTGTGTGTGCGTGCTGTGTGTACGTGCTGTGTGTGTGTGTGTGTGTGTGTGTGCGCATGCTAGCTTATGTGCGTGTGCATGTGTGTTCGTATTTAGTGTGCATTTTGTTGCGCTGAAGGTTGAATGTTCTGAGCAAGGTGTTGGTGTACATATTTTCACACACTCCCACATACCTTCCCCGCTCAGGCGGCCTGTCATGCCACATCCTCCTCCACATCTCGCCAACCTACCACCATTCTCATATTCTCCCCTGCCCTCCCCTCCTCCTCTGTCTCAACACCCAACAGAGGTGAAGGAGTATGTTGCCTCTGTTGAGCGGTTCCGCGCCGTGACCATGGAGCGCCTGGTCATGCAATACAAGTCCATTGGACCACTCCTCACCAAGGTGGCCGTGCTTGTGGGTGCCGACTCAGCACACCGCCTGCCCGGCTACTACGCCACGTGGGAGCGTCGCATCTTCACTGCGCTCGTGGACATGGTGCTCAACAACCTGCGCACAGCCGTGCACCTCATGACCAAGTCGCCCACGCCGCTGTTCCGTGTGGACGTGCGTTTGTCTGCGCCCGAGCTTGTGCTGGTGCCGTCAGCCGGCGAGCTGTACCGCATGCTGCGTCGCATGTTCCGCAGCCTGCTCGACAGCTTGAAGGGCTTCCTTCGCTGGCAGCACGGCACGTGCCAGCTCACCACGGAGCTGGTTGTGGAGGGCGAGGACACACCCATCATCTTCTCGTTCTTCGACGACGTCAACGCGCACCCGTCCGTGCTGGAGCAGATGGCGGAGGTAGACACGACCATCAAGACCATGTTCGACTCCATTGCAGGCTACCTCAGCCGCTGGAAGCGCTACTCTGCGCTGTGGAAGCTGGACAAGCACGGCAGCGTGGCCAAGTTTGCTGCGAAAAACCCGTCAAGCGCGCTTTACGACACGAAGCTTGGCTTCTACACGCGCCTCTCGGACGAGGTGATGCAGCACAAGTCGACCCGCCGCATCATGTTTGTGGAGCTGTTCCTGCCGCCGCTCATGGAGACAGTGTGCGACGGTGCGCTGTCGTGGGTGTCGTCGCTCGGCAACGCGCTCGCAACAAGCACGCAGGAGCGCGGGGAAGAGTTGCTTGCACGCATGAACACGTGGTCCGAGGGCCTCAAGGCGGAGCCGTCCGATTTGGAGGCGCTGAAACGCATTCTGCGCACCATGGGCGAGATTCGTGATGAGTCACTGGCCATCCAGCTGCAGATTGACGACCTGTCTGAGTGCCTGCGCACGCTGGACAAGTACGAGGCCGTCAGTGTTGACGAGGACCTTAGCTCGCTGATTGAAAGCCTTCCCGGCGTTTGGGAGCGCCTTGTTGCGGATGCGGAGGAGGTGGACGATAACCTGATTGCTGTCAAGTTCAAGTTCAGCCGCATCACCACGTCGCAGGTCAAGGACTTTGTCAAGGAGACGGAGCAGCTGGCGGACACCTTCTTCATGCAAGGCCCAGCAGCGTACGTACCCTTGCCTGTTGTGTGTGCGTGTGTGTATGCACATGTTTCTGTGTGTGTGTGTGTGTGGTGGTGGTATAAACTCATGCTCCTGTTTGCTTTCTTGTATTTTCGTTTGATGTACATGTGCAAAGGCCTGCCTACATGTGTCTTGTTAACTGCAATGGCACGGCTTGACCTGCACAGCCACGCACACAGATAGACAGACAGACACACAGCCACGCACGCACGCACGCACGCACGCACGCACGCACGCACGCACGCACGCACACACACACACACTCACGCACACACACACACACTCACACACGCTCACACACACGCTCACACACACACACACACACACGCTCACACTCCAACACCCCCCCCCCGTTTTGTGTCGCCGTCTGCTGCCATGCCGCTGCAGTGTTGGCGAGGACATGGACAAAGGCCTGGAGCTGATGGAGGAGTACAAGGAGAAGCTGGCTGCATTTGACGAGCGGCGCGCGGGCCTCTCTGATGCGCAGGTGCTGTTTGGCCTCAAGGCGCAGCCATACGAGCAACTCAACGAGATGAAGCGACAGATGGAGGTGCTTGAGGTCATCTACTCTGTGTATGAGGAGCAGAAGCAGGCACGCGACGAGTGGGCGCAGACGCTGTGGTCGGACCTGCACATGGATGTGCTCGAGCAAGGCATTGACGGCTTTGCCACGCGCGTACGCCGCATGCCTGACCACGTGAAGGAGCACCCGCTGTGGCAGGTGCTCAACAAGCGCATTCGCGAGTTTAAGGACACGCTGCCCTTGCTGACGGACCTCAAGTCTGAGGCGCTTCGTGACCGTCACTGGAAGCAGCTCATGGAGGAGACGAAAATCAAGTTTGACATGAATCCAAACACGTTTACGCTGGCGAAGCTGTTTGAGATGGAGCTGCACCGCTTTGAGGATCTGATTGGCGACATCACGACAGCGGCCATGAAGGAGCTCAACATTGAGAAGGGTCTCAACGAGGTGAAGGAGACGTGGCGCAAGACGGAGTTCAACTTCGTCAAGTACGTGCAGGGCGAGCAGGAGCGCGGGATTGTGCTTGGCGCCACGGATGACATCATCCAGCTGCTGGACGACAACGCCATGAACCTTCAGACGGTCGCAGCCTCGCAGTTTGTTGGGCCCTTCCGCGAGGAGGTAACGCGGTGGGAGAAGAACCTGTCCCTGGTTGGAGAGGTGATTGACGTGTGGATTGTGGTGCAGCGCAAGTGGATGTACCTTGAAGGCATCTTCAAGGCCGGTGACATTCGCCAGCAGCTGCCTGCAGAGGCGACACGCTTTGATGGCATTGACAAGGCGTTTAAGAAGATTATGGCTGACGCTTCTCAGCGCAAGAACGTCGTCCAGACTTGCACTACGTAAGAGAGACAGAGAGAGAGAGAGTCTGTGTGTGTGTGGTTGTTGTTGTTGTGTTGTCTTTGTGTGCATGATGGGTGCTGTCTTAAAACAGCGCAGTTTTCGCTCACATCATGTGCACACACACACACACACACACACGCACGCACCATCTGCAGGGACAACAAGCTTGAGACGCTGCAGCGGCTGCAGAGTGAGCTGGACGCGTGCCAAAAGTCGTTGAACGACTACTTGGATGCAAAGCGAAACGCGTTCCCGCGCTTCTTCTTCATCTCTGACGACGAGCTGCTGTCAATCCTCGGCTCGCACGAGTGCACGTGCGTGCAGGAGCACATGATCAAGATGTTTGACAACATCTCCCAGCTCAAGTTCAGCAAGACGACAGCCAAGGGCATGATCTCTGCCGAGGGGGAGGAGATGCTGTTCAAGACGCCCGTGACGGCTGAGGGCCGCGTGGAGGAGTGGATGACAGCGGTGCTGCAGGAGATGCGGGCGACGAACCGGCTCATCACGAAGGAGGCCGTGTTCCGCTACGGCTCTGACGGCCTCAAGCGCACTGAGTGGATCACACAGTACCAGGGCATGGTCGCCCTCGCTGGCTCTCAGGTAACAACGGAGGGACTTTTGTTTGTTGTAGGGAGGGAGGTAGCTGTGTGCTGACGTTGTGCCTGCCTGTAGTGTGCTTGTGGTTATTCAAACTTGCTCGCCCTGGTTCGTCTGTGCTTTCCGCCCCTCACCATCAACATCACACACACACGCACACACACACACACACACACACACACACACACACACACACACACACACACACACACACACACACACACACATTGCTGTCAGGTGTGGTGGACGTGGGAGGTTGAGGATGTGTTCCGAAAGGTGGTGGAGGGCGACAAGAAGGCCATGAAGACGTACAGCAAGCAGCTGAACAAGCAGATTGACGACATGGTGGTGAAGGTCCGGTCAGACCTCTCCAAGAACGACCGCAAGAAGTTCAACACCATGCTCATCATCGACGTGCACGCGCGCGACATTGTGGACGGGTTTGTGCGTGACTCCATCCTCGACATTCGCGAGTTTGAGTGGGAGTCGCAACTGCGCTTCTACTGGATGCGTGACGAGGACAATTTGGTGATTCGCCAGTGCACCGGCAACTTCAACTACGGCTACGAGTACATGGGCCTCAACGGACGTCTGGTCATCACACCGCTGACAGACCGCATCTACCTCACGCTGACTCAAGCGCTGTCCATGTACTTGGGCGGTGCGCCTGCCGGCCCGGCTGGTACCGGCAAGACGGAGACTGTGAAGGATCTCGCAAAGGCAATGGGCCTCCTCTGCGTCGTCACAAACTGTACGTGTGTGTGTGCGTGTGTGTATGTGTGTATGTGTGTGTACGTGTGTGTCATTCGTGCTGCTGTTTGCTTTCGTTTGGCTATTGATTGGGGTGTTGTATTGGACTTATGTGCACGCATCGCATTGGCGATCATGAGCGTGTCTTTGCATTTCTCTGTGGTCCATTCATTTCAGTTGCTCATTTCTCGTGCTGTGGCGCTCTTTGTCCCACCCACAAACACACACCACACTTCCAGGTGGTGAGGGTATGGACTACAAGGCCGTGGGCAAGATCTTCTCTGGCCTGTCGCAGTGCGGTGCGTGGGGCTGCTTCGACGAGTTCAACCGCATCGACGTGTCTGTCCTCTCCGTCATCTCAACACAGCTCCAGACCATCAAGAACGCCCTCGTCATGAACCTCGAACGGTGCGCGCTTGTGTATTGTGTGTGTGTGTGTGTGCGTGTGCGTGTGTGTGTGTGTCCGTGTGTGTGTGTGTGTGTCCGTGTGTGTGCGTGTGTGTTTGTGTGTTCGTGTGTGCATGTGTGCGTGTGTTTTTGTGTCCATGTGTGCGTGCGTGCGTGTGCGTGTGCGTGTGCATGTACAGCTTTTTTCACGTGTTTGTGTGCGTTGAGTTTGTGTACTACGACCCAAAACCATCACCACCACCACCACCATTTTAAACCCTCCATTCACCCGCCACTGCCACTGCCAACACTGAATGCAGGTTCCACTTTGAGGGCACCGAGATTGCGCTCGACTCGCGTGTTGGCATCTTCATCACGATGAACCCTGGCTACGCCGGGCGAACGGAGCTGCCAGAGTCCGTCAAGGCCCTCTTCCGCCCCGTCGTCGTGATTGTGCCCGATTTGCTGCAGATTTGCGAGATTATGCTCTTCTCCGAGGGCTTCCTGGAGGCATCAACGCTGGCCAAGAAGATGACAGTGCTGTACAAGCTCGCCAAGGAGCAGCTGTCCAAGCAGTACCATTATGACTTCGGTCTGCGTGCGCTCAAGTCTGTGCTGGTGATGGCTGGCCAGCTGAAGCGTGGCTCCCCCGACCTCGACGAGGATGTGGTGCTGATGCGCGCCCTTCGCGACATGAACCTGCCCAAGTTTGTCTTTGAGGACGTGCCTCTCTTCCTCGGTGGGTGGAATCAAATACGAAGGGAGAGGGAGAGAGAGAGTGTGTGTGTGAGAGAGTGTGTGTGCTCTGTATGTTTATGTCTGTGTGTTGTTGTTGTTGTTGTTGTTGTTGTTGTTGTTGTTGTTGTTGTTGTTGTTGTTGTTGTTGTGCTTGGGTGCACAAGCCTGTGTGAGCGTTTGTGTTGTCGTTACTGCGCGTGTATGTTTGCGAGTGTGTGTGTGATGTTGTTGTTGCTGTACTTGTGTGTCCGTGATATGATTTGCGGTTTCGTGTCACATTTTCTCACCATGCAACGCCTAATCTCCATCATACACACACACGCACACGCACACACACAGGCCTCATTGCTGACCTGTTCCCTGGGTTGGACTGCCCGCGCGTGCGCTACCCGGACTTCAACGACGCCGTAGAGTCAGTTCTCGTCAACAACAAGTACATCTTTGATGAGCACCAGGTGGACAAGGTTGTGCAGCTGTACGAGACCATGCTCACGCGCCACACCACCATGGTTGTGGGCAACACTGGCGGTGGCAAGTCTGTTGTCATCAACACGCTCGCTAAAGCGCAGCGCAAGCTCGGCCTCCCCACAAAACTCTACACTCTCAACGCAAAGGTGTGTGTGTTGTATGTGTGTATGTGTATGTGTACGTGCTTGTGTACGTGTTTGTGTACGTGTGTTTGTGTACGTGTTTGTGTACGTGTTTGTGTACGTGTTTGTGTGAATGCGAATGCGAATGCGAATGCGAATGCTTCCCACTTGTTCCCCTTCTGCCTCACTTCCTGTCCCCTCACCCCCCCCCCCCCCACCCCACCACCACCACCACCACCACCAACTTCAATCAGGCGATCAACATCTCTGAGCTGTATGGTGTGCTTGACCCGATCACGCGCGACTGGACAGACGGCCTCCTCTCCCGCATCTTCCGTGAAATCTGCAAACCAACCGACAAGCACGAGAAGCGCTATGTTGTGTTTGACGGCGACGTCGACGCGCTGTGGGTCGAGAACATGAACTCAGTCATGGACGACAACAAGGTGCTCACGCTGCCCAATGGTGAGCGCATTCGCCTCGCCTCACACTGCGCCCTGCTGCTGGAGGTCGCCGACCTGCAGTATGCGTCGCCCGCCACCATCTCCCGCTGCGGTATGGTCTACGTGGACCCCAAGAACCTCGGCTATGACCCATACTGGCAGCGCTGGCTCGTCGCGCGCGAGAAGGAATCTGATCGCGAAGTCTTTGCGGAGCTGTACGAGAAGTACGTACACACGTGCATTGCGCGCATTCTGGACGGCCTGGACGAAGGAAAGCCCGTGGAGCGATTGCGCAACATTGTGCCCCGCACCAACCTCAACATGCTGGAGCAGCTGTGCAAGCTCATTGACGCGCAGCTGCCCAACGACAGCCCGCACACGGACTACGCCACGCTTGAGGCCGTGTTTGTGTCCTCGCTCGCCTGGTCCATGGGCGGCTGCCTGCTGGAGAACGACAGGGTGATTCTCGACAAGCTCATCAAGCGCCTCTCTGGCCTGCCGCTGAGCGCGGGCACGGCTGGCGCGGGGTCCTTGCCCAGCGACCACCCGACGCTGTTCGAGTACTACTTTGACCTTGAGCAGCGGCGCTGGGTGCCGTGGTCTGACACCGTGCCGGAGTATGTGCACGACCCGCACAAGCCGTTCCACGAGATTCTGGTGCCGACGGTGGACACGGTGCGCACGTCCTGGCTGCTCAAGCTCATGACAGACATCCAGAGGCCCGTGCTGCTGGTTGGCGAGACGGGCACGTCCAAGACGGCGACCACCACCGCCTTCCTCAACTCGCTCGACGCACAGCGCAATCTGGTGCTGAACATGAACTTCAGCAGCCGCACCACGTCCATGGATGTGCAGCGCAACCTGGAGGCCAACGTGGAGAAGCGCACCAAGGACTCGTACGGCCCCACGCCGGGCAAGCGGCTGCTGGTGTTCATTGACGACATGAACATGCCGCAGGTGGACACGTACGGGACGCAGCAGCCCATTGCGCTGTTGAAGCTGCTGCTTGAGCGTGGCGGCCTGTACGACCGTGGCAAGGATCTCAACTGGAAGAACATGCGCGACCTTGGCTACGTTGCCGCCATGGGCAAGCCCGGTGGTGGACGCAACTCCGTGGACCCGCGCTTCCTCACCCTCTTCTGCGTGTTCAACATCACCTTCCCCTCGCAAGAGTCGCTCAACCGCATCTACTCGAGCATTCTTGGCGGGCACCTGCAGGCCTTTGACGCCAGCCTGCACAAGCTCACCGACGTGGTGACGCAGGCCACCATGACCCTGTACCAGGACGTGGTGTCCGCGCTGCCGCCAACGCCCTCCAAGTTCCACTACATCTTCAACCTGCGCGACCTGAGCCGCGTGTACGAGGGCCTGTGCCTCACCACGCCAGACCGCTTCACCACGGAGGACCAGTTTGTGCGCGTGTGGCGCAACGAGTGCCTGCGCGTCTTCCACGACAGGCTGATCAACAAGGAGGACAAGAAGCAGGTGCAGGCCTTGGTGGAGAAGATTGTGACGTCCCTGTTCTCAAAGTCGAGCACAACGGCAATGCGCGAGCCCTTGCTGTACGGCGACATGCGCCACGCGCTGGACCCGAGCAAGCCCCGCCTGTACGAGGAGTTTGACAGCTACGAGGAGGCGAAGCAGGTCTTTGACAACGTGCTGGTGGAGTACAACGAGACGCACACCAACATGAACCTGGTGCTGTTCGATGACGCGCTGGAGCACTTGATGCGCGTGCACCGCATCCTGCGCATGGACCGCGGCCACGCCCTCCTCGTTGGTGTCGGCGGATCTGGGCGCCAGTCCCTCGCGCGCCTGGCCACGTTCGCTGCCGGGTACGAGCTGTTTGAGATCACGCTCAGCCGCGGCTACGGCGAGGAGGAGTTTAGGGAGGACCTCAAGTCCCTGTACAACATGGTTGGGATTGAGCGCAAGAAGATGACGTTTCTGTTCACGGACGCGCACGTTGCGGAGGAAGGCTTCCTCGAGCTCATCAACAACATTCTCACGTCCGGGATGGTGCCCGCGCTGTTTGAGGACGAGGAGAAGGAGGGCATCATCGGGCAGGTGCGCGACGACGTGCAGAAGAAGGGGTTGGTCCCCAACAGGGAGACGTGCTGGAACTACTTTGTCAGCCGCTGCGCCGACAACCTGCACGTGGTGCTGGCCATGTCCCCCGTCGGTGACAAGCTGCGCACGCGCTGCCGCAACTTCCCTGGCCTGGTCAACAGCACGGTGATTGACTGGTTCCTGCCGTGGCCCACGCAGGCGCTGTACGCGGTTGCCTCGGTGTTCCTGGGCAGCGGGGACGAGGCCAACGAGAAGGCGGCGCTGCTGCCGCAGGAGAACAGGGAGCAGATTGTGCAGCACTTTGTGCACGTGCACATGAGCGTGACAGAGTACAGCCGCGAGTTTGAGGCGCGCCTGCGCCGCAGCAACTACGTCACGCCCAAGAACTACCTCGACTTTATCTCGTCGTACCTCAACCTGCTGGACAAGCAGGACAAGTTTGTGCAGTCGCAGTGCGACCGCCTGGACGGCGGCATGTCGAAGCTGATCCAGGCAGGCAAGGACCTCGACATCATGAACACCAAGCTGGCGGAGCAGGAGATCACGCTCAAGGCGAGCACGGAGGCGTGCGCGAAGCTGCTTGAGGACATCTCCATTGCACGCGAGGAAGCAACGCGCAAGCAGACGATGGCCGAGGCCAAGGCCAAGGAGATTGAGGTGCAGTCTGCGCAGATCCAGGTGGAGAAGAAGGAGGCGGAGGATGCGCTTGCCGTTGCGCTGCCCGCGCTGGAGGAAGCCCGAAACGCCCTCAAGGGCCTGGACAAGAACGACGTGACGGAGATTCGCTCGTTTGCAAAGCCGCCGGCCGCCGTGCAGACGGTGTGCGAGTGCGTGGTGATTATCAAGGGCGGGAAGGACGTGTCGTGGAAGGCGGCCAAGGGCATGATGGCCGACCCCGGGTTCCTGTCCTCACTCATGACGCTGGACGTGGACGGCATCAAGTCGAAGCAGGTCACCGCCGTCAACTCCAGCCTGAAGAAGGCGGACCTCTCCCTGGACAAGATGAAGGACATCAGCACGGCCGGTGCGGGGCTGCTCAAGTTTGTGCAGGCTGTCATGGGCTACTGCGCCGTGGCCAAGGAGATCAAGCCCAAGCGCGAGCGCGTGGCGGAGCTTGAGCGCACGTTCCACAAGGCGAAGCGGGACCTTGACCGCATCCAGAAGGAGCTGGCAGCGCTGGAGGCCGAGCTGGATGAGCTCAAGCGCAAGTACGAGGAGGCGACGAGCGAGAAGATGAAGCTCAAGGAGGAAGCCGAGATTATGCAGCGGCGGCTGGTTGCTGCAGACAAGCTCATCACGGGCCTGTCCTCGGAGAAGCAACGGTGGAAGGAGGAGCTGGCGGAGCTGCGTGCGAAGCGCGTGCGCCTGCTTGGCGACTGCCTGCTCGGCTCTGCCTTCCTCTCGTACGCGTGCGCGTTCAACTTTGAGTTCCGCCAGCGCATGCTGTACAGCGACTGGCTGGAGGACCTGAAGAAGCGGCAGGTGCCTGTGAGTCCGGACTTCAGCCTGCAGGCGCTGCTGACGACGGAGGTTGAGGTTGCACAATGGGGCTCGGAGGGCCTGCCGCCGGACGAGCTGTCCGTGCAAAACGGCATTTTGACGACGCAGGCCAGCAGCTTCCCGCTGTGCATCGACCCGCAGCAGCAGGCGCTCAAGTGGATTCTGGAGCGGGAGAAGAAGCACAACATCAAGGTGTGCACGTTCAACGACCCAGACTTTTTGAAGCAGCTTGAGCTGGCCATCAAGTACGGGTTCCCGTTCCTCTTCCGCGACGTGGACGAGTACATTGACCCGGTCATCGACAACGTGCTGGAGAAGAACATTCTGGGCACGGCCAAGCGGCGCTACGTTGTGCTCGGCGACAAGGAGGTGGACTACGACCCCAACTTCCGGCTGTACCTCAACACGAAGATTGCCAACCCGCGCTACCCGCCGTCCGTGTTTGGCAAGGCCAAGGTCATCAACTACACGGTCACACTCAAGGGCCTGGAGGACCAGCTGCTGAGCGTGATTGTCGGGTTTGAGCGCCGGGAGCTTGAGGAGAAGAGGGCGGAGCTGATTCGGGAGACGTCCGAGAACAAGACGCTGCTCAAGGACCTTGAAGACACGCTGCTGCGCGAACTGGCTGCGTCCACGGGCAACATGCTGGACAACGTGGAGCTGATCCAGACCCTGGAGAACACCAAGAGCAAAGCGGCGGAGGTGCAGGAGAAGCTTGACCTCGCGTCGACGACGGCACAGGAGATTGATGAGATTCGAGACGGGTACCGGCCCGCAGCCAAGCGCGGCGCCGTGCTCTTCTTCGTGCTGTCTGAGATGTCTGCCATCAGCTTCATGTACCAGTACTCGCTGGCGTCGTATTTGGAGGTGTTTGACCAGTCGCTGCGGCGCTCGCTGCCCAGCACCATCCTCTCCAAGCGGCTGCAGAACATCATCGACACGCTCACGCAGAACGTGTACAACTACGCGACGACGGGCCTATTTGAGAAGGACAAGCTGCTCTTCTCGTTCCAGATGACGGTGAAGCTGCTGGAGGCGGAGGACAACATGGTGCCCGCTGAGCTCGACTTCTTCGTCAAGGGCAACAACAGCATTGAGAAGGTGGCGCGGCCAAACCCGCACGAGTGGCTGCCGGACAGCGGGTGGAAGGACATCCAGAAGCTGATTACCGTGGACAAGGAGGCCTTTGGCAAGCTTGCGGACGACGTGGCGTCGAATGGCGCCGTGTGGGAGGCGTGGTACACGAGCGAGGCGCCCGAGCGTGGGGACCTGCCCATGCGCTACAGCGAGAAGCTCACGTCGTTCCAGAAGCTGTGCCTGCTGCGCTGCTTCCGGCTCGACCGCATCTACCGCGCCATCACGGACTTTGTGACGGAGCACATGGGCGAGCGCTTTGTGCAGCCGCCCGTTGTGCGCTTTGAGAACGTGCACGAGTCCTCCTCGCCCACGGCGCCGATTGTGTTCATCCTCAGCCCAGGGTCGGATCCTGCCGGGGACCTGCTGAAGCTTGCGGAGAAGACCGGGTTTGGCGGGAACAGGCTCAAGTTCCTCAGCATGGGCCAGGGGCAGGGCAAGATTGCGCTGCAGATGCTGGAGACGGCTGCGCAGCGCGGGCAGTGGCTCATGCTGCAGAACTGCCACCTGCTTGTCAAGTGGCTGCGCGACCTGGAGAAGGCGCTGGAGCAGATTACCAACCCGCACCCGGAGTTTAGGCTGTGGCTGACGACGCAGCCGACAGACAAGTTCCCCATTGGCATTCTGCAGCGCTCGCTCAAGGTGGTGTCTGAGCCGCCCAACGGGCTGAAGCTGAACCTGCGCGCGACGCTGACCAAGATCAGCGACGAGGGGCTGAGCGAGGAGGCGTGCCCGCACCCTGCGTTCCCCTCGCTCGTGTACACGCTGGCCTTCTTCCACGCTGTTGTACAGGAGCGCCGCAAGTACGGCAAGGTGGGCTGGAACGTGCCCTACGACTTCAACGAGAACGACTTCCGCGTGTGCATGGACATTATCCGCACGTACCTGAACAAGGCTGTGGAGAACGGGGACGAGAAGCTACCGTGGGGGTCGCTCAAGTACCTGGTTGGGGAGGTGATGTATGGCGGGCGAGCCATTGACAGCTTTGACCGCCGCGTCCTGCGCACGTACATGGACGAGTTTATGGGCGACTTTATCTACGACACGTTCCAGCCGTTCCACTTCTTTGTGAACGAGGATGTTGACTACACAATCCCGCAGGCCACCACGCGGCAGGAGTTTTTGGACTACGTGCAGACGCTGCCGCTGGCCAACGGGCCGGACGTGTTTGGGCTGCACCCGAACGCGGAGATTGGGTACTTCACGGACACGGCGCAGCAGATCTGGCAGCAGCTGGTGGAGCTGCAGCCGCAGACGGGCAGCACGGGCGGCGGCATCTCGAGGGAGGAGCACATTGCGCAGACGGCGCACGACATTCAGGCGAAGCTGCCGGAGCCGTTTGACCTGGAGCGGGTGAAGCGCAGCTTGAACAAGCCGCCGACGCCGACGCAGGTGGTGCTGCTGCAGGAGCTTGAGCGGTGGAATGCGCTGGTGACGACGATGAGCAGGTCGCTGAGCAACCTGCTGCGCGCGCTTGCTGGCGAGGTTGGCATGAGCAATGCACTGGATGAGCTGGCGCAGTCGCTGTTCAACGGGCAGCTGCCGGGCATGTGGCGGCGCCTGGCGCCAGACACACTGAAGAAGCTTGGCGACTGGATGACGCACTTTGAGGCGCGCCTTGCGCAATACCAGCAGTGGGTTGAGGGCGGCGAGCCTACGGTGATGTGGCTGTCTGGCCTGCACATCCCGGAATCCTACCTGACTGCACTGGTGCAGACGACGTGCCGGCAGAACAAGTGGGCGCTTGACCGCTCCACGCTGTACACGACGGTGACGTCGTTCCTGAGCGAGGAGGAGGTGGAGACCCGCCCGCCGTCCGGGTGCTACGTGAAGGGCCTGTTCCTGGAAGGCGCTGCATGGGACGAGGAGGCCATGTGTCTCAAGGCGCAGCCGCCCAAGGTGCTGGTGAGCCCGCTGCCGATTCTGCGCGTGATTCCGATTGAGGCGCACAAGCTGAAGCTGCAAGGCACGTTCCGCACACCCGTGTACACGACGGCGAACCGGCGTAACGCCATGGGTGTCGGCCTTGTCTTTGAGGCGGATCTGGCCACGCAGGAGCACCAGAGCCACTGGGTCTTGCAGGGCGTCTGCCTGACCCTCAATGAAAGTTAACAAACACCATAGCGCGCGTGTGTGTGTGTGTGTGTAGTGTGTGCAGTGTATCGCGTGTATCGCGTGTGTGCGTAGCTTGAGAGAGAAAGAGAAAGAGGGAGAGAGAGAGAGAGTGTGTGTGTGTGTGGTTGCTTGTTGTGGTTTTGTTTGTGTTTGTGTTTCTTTGTCATCCATCATCCATAAAACCCCACAACACTGTGAATATTATTGGAAGACATTCATCAAGTTTCCGTGACATCGGCTGGACGACGACGATGACGATGATGAGCGTTGTTGGGGTCAGCAGGAGCTCTGTTGGTGCAGGTGTGTGTGTTGGCGTTGTTGTGCTGGTTGCGGTTGTTGCTGCCGTGGTGAGCGGCGATGCTGGTGCTGGTAGTGGAGGCATTGAGGTGCCTGAGCTGCACGTGGAGAATGGATCCGTGTACCTCGATGTGAACGCAGATCGGGTAAGGTCCAATGGCTTTGTCTTGTTCGCATTGGCTGTGTTTTGGAGCATGCTCATGTTGTTTTGGCTTTGTTTTGTTTTGGTGTGTTGGTGTGGTTGGAAGTGGGTGCTGTTGGCGGCAGTGCAACCACCCCAGCACGAAACCATGCAATGAAATGGGGAAACGTAGTGTAGTGGCGTCACAAGACACCGTCATCACCACCTTGATTCATTGTCTTGCTGTTGTTGCTGCTGTTTGCTGTGGTTGCTGCGCATACATAGGGTGTGTGGGTGCGGCGTTTCAACTCGGATGGCAGCCACAACCAGAGTTTTGCGCTGACAGACCTGACGCCACAGGTGTGTTTGTGATCTTGTGATGGCGTGCTTCGTGTGCAATGTGCCGCGACTGCAGATTGATGTATCGCAGCTTGTATGCTGCGCCGACGGCTGCATTGTATCGAAAGGCACTGAAGGCTACTTTCGAGTACATCGTCATTCCTTCTAACACTTGCTGTTGCTCTTGTTGTTGCTTGCACAAATGCACAAAACGCATGAGCCTCATGAGCACTCACACCCACGACAACGCGACACGACCTTGCCTGCCTGCCTGCCTGCGTTCTGTGGCCACTCGCATGCAGTTGCTGTCCGTGATTTCGCAGCAACAGGAGACGATCCAGCAGCTTTCGAGTGCCATTGACCAGCTCAACTCCACCAAGGTGTCGTTCCATCAGCTGGAAATTGACCTTGATGCTGTCACCACCAACATCGACTTTGCACGCCAAGCAGCCGAGATGAACGCTGCCAACGAGCGCAGCACTTTGAGCACAGCCATCGCTTCTTCCACCAGCACAACCGTGGCATCTCTCAGCACGGTACACTGCCCTGCCTGTTCGCTTGTATTTCGTTTGTATTTCGCTTGTATTTCGCTTGTATGACATTGACTCGTGCAATGCCATATGAGTCCTTTCGTGTGCATGTGTCGACTGTTGTGGTGTTAAATACAAGCCCTCATGTGCGTGTGTCTGCAGCATGCTTCATCCAGTTCGCCTTCTGACTCTGCTGCTTGACCGCCATGCTTGCTTGTGCTGTAGGCTGTAGATATGGCGCTTGACACGAAAGCAAACACGCGGGAAGTGGAGAACAATCTCGGCGACGTTGTTGAGCACGTGACAAACCTTGAGGAAGCAGTCCTTGATCTGCAACACACCACCGGCAACCACACCGACGACATTGAGGCCCTTCTCGAGTGCGTCGTGTTGTGTGTTGTGTGTGTGTGTTGTGTGTCTGTGTGTGTGTGTGTGTGTGTGTGTCTGTCTGTCTGTCTGGCTAACTGACTGTCTGTGTATTCATGTTTGTGACAACAGTCATCATACACGAGTACACTCCCTCTTCCTACGCCTCACTGCACCCAACACCCCCCCCCCAATTCTCCAGGTGCATGCGGCGTGGCCTTGTGCACGATGATGTGACGGGGAGGTGCGTGCCTGCCTTCCGACACGACGACTGCTCGGCGCACATCGATCCCGCGGGCATGAGCGTCGACTGCACCAACGGCCCCATCTTCGACTCTGTGTGCACGCTCGTGTGCCCAAGCGGCTATGATGGTGGCGGCAAGTTCCGCTGCAACCTCACAGAGGGGTGGGAGCCGTATGAGGAAGGCGCGTCGCTGTGTCGTGACGTCGATGAGTGTTCGCTGACACCGTCGCCCTGTATGGGCACGTGCACCAACACCATCGGCTCCTTCGAGTGCTCCTGTCCTGGTGGTGAACTCGCTCCCAACGGCCGCGACTGCACACGTACGCTGCTCTGACTCTGTGTGTGTGTGTGTGTGTGTGTGTGTGTGTGTGTGTGTGTGTGTGTGTGTGTGTGTGTGTGTGTGTGTGTGTGTGTGTGTGTAGTTGTTGTCGTCGTCCGTACCGTGTTTGTGTGTGTGCGTGTGTTTGTGTACTCACACTTGCTTACTTGTCTGAGTCTGAGTGAGTTGTGCATGCACAGTATGATCGCTTCGCATCCAAGCTTTTGACTCACATTGACGCACAACGACACTCGTGGCGTATGTGTGCTCGATTTGGCAGATTGCGTGCATCACGACCTTCAACTCCGCGCGAAACGATCATGTCACCTTTACTTTTGGCAGAAACAACGGCCATTCCCAGAGCAAGTCAGTGAGTACGTGTGTGCATGTACATGTGGGGATGTGTTCTGTGGTGCAGGGGTGTGTGTGTGTGTGTGTGTGTGTGTGTGTGTGTGTATGTGTGTGTATGTCCGTGACTTGCAGCACCGCATGCCAACCACAACCTAGCTCCCCCTCTTCTGCCCCCTCACTATCCCATCATCATTTGCAGCTGGGACAACCAGGTGTATGATCAGAACACATACATGAACGACATCATCGTCACACAGAACGGCGACAATGCCGGTGCTTCCTATCACGGTAGACACATACGCGTATGAAAAGGGCGTGTAGTTCTGTGATTGTGTGATGTTGAGCGTGTGTACGTCTGCACGTGTACTTGGATTGTGTGTGTGTGTGTGTGCTTGAGATTGCGCGTGTGCAGGTCGGTATGTTTTCTCTTCATTTCCCGTCACGCTTCACACCATCCACACTCCTGCTCGCCCATTGTGCCACCGCAGGCCGCAGCATGGGCACGGAGATCATCCCCATTGACCAGCACCGCGTTCTCTACTGGTGAGTGTGTGTGTGTGTGTGTTTGTGTTGTGTGTGTCTGTGTGTCTGTCTCTCTGTCTGCCTCTCTGTCTGTCTCTCTGTCTGTGTGTGCGTGCGCACATCAGTGTTGAGTGAGTTCACTTGGAACTCACCATTCACCTACTCATGTAATCCTTCATGCCGGCACGTGTACACCACGTGTGTTGTATTCACACCATAACTCACTTCCTCTCTCTTTTGTCCTATTCTGCACGCCACCAGCCTGAGCATGGGCAAGAGCCGCGGTACGGACTACGTGACGCTGCAGGTGTACGGGTACCTGACAGGCGAAGGCATCATCTCCACATCCCAGATCAGGAATGCGCGCATTGCAAGCAGCGGCGGGTTTTCGCAGCACAGCTTTGGCAAGCCCGAGTTCGTCCCAAGCCACGCTTGTAAGTCGTGTGTGTGTGTGTATGTGTGTGTGTGCCTGCTTTCGTGTGTGTGTGTGTGTATGTGTATGTGTGTCTGCAAGCATATGTGGGTGCCTGCTTTCGTGTGTGTGCTTGCTTTCGTGTGTGCTTGCAAGCACATGTGCATCCCTGCAAGCATAGATGCGTGTGAGGATTTCGCACGTTCGTGCACTCAGGCACCTTCCTACCATCCATCCATACGTCCGCCCGTGCATCCATGCAAAACTGGTTGACCTCACTCACGCACATCCCAACACATCACTGCCTTTTCCCAACGACAACAAGACGCCATCTTGGGCGCTGTGACGACGTTCGCCTCCACGCGTCGCGATCACTACTCTGTTTCCATTGGCCGGTCCTTCAACCCGACATACAACTCATGGTTTGTACACGCCTGCATGTGCATGCTCACTTACAATGCACGTGTATTTCCACTTTCACGCATCCACACACACACACACACACACACACACACACACACACATGCTCACGTACTCACAGACTCACAAGGCACTTGCAAACTCACTTCATATGACTCACCCTTGCGACTGCATCACATCAATCCATTTACGTCCACGTGTTTTCTGACACGACAGGGACAATGAGCCGTTTTCCACTTCAACAGACAGCGCCGCTTTTGCAAACTGTGAGGACACGGGCCGTGATGAGCACCTCCCCCCTCCAGTCGTGTTTGCATGCTCACCCTCACATGATCATACTTGCACACCCTCCATCACCTTGGCGTGTTGACGCTCACGTGAACACAATTACACACGCGCGCACACACAATTGCGCGCACACACACACACACACGCACACACATATCGCCTTGGCATGTTCTGTTGCCGCCGCCTTGAACTGTGCGCGTGTGCGTGCATGCAGATGTGCATCTGACGCACAATGGGGATGCGAGCGGGATGGACGACTACTACGGAATGTCGCACGGTTCTGTGCTCTTTCCGACACTCAGCGGCGTAAGTTGAATACAGCGGCGATCATGATGTGCCACAGTCCCCGTCGCACATGCACGCCCAGCGCTTGCTTGCTTGTTTGCTTGCTTGCCTCTGCTCTGATTCACGCATGTCTCGTGTTCTCTTTGCGCTCACATACTCACGCAACTGTGCTTGGTGGCCACCAATGATGTGTGTGTGTAGGGTGGATTTAAGGTGCTGAACAATCAAGGCTGGAACGGCGGTGGGACATCGTATTTCACGCTCCAGGTGTGGGATGCATGCATGTGATTAGATGCTGCTGCTGAACCCTTTGTTGGACACCTGTAGCCCTCTTGTGACACACAAACGTACACACACACACACACACACACACACACACACATACACACACGTACACACACACACACGCAAATGCACCCTCACACACACACACACACACACACACACACACACACATCCGCACTCACACACACGCACACATCCGCACGCTACACTCCACGTGACGATAGGTGAACGGGTATGTGCCTGGTGGCGGGTACTCCAACATCAAGTTCTTTGATCCGAGCGATGTGAAGCGGCTCAAGTTCACCGTGACCAACGCGCCAGTCAAGCACACGGACATCACACCCCCGGATACGGTGCCGTCGACGGCAAAGGCGCTCATCACGCTGCTGTACACGTACCAGGACCGCTCGAATCTGGAGCATATGGTGCACTCGTTTGGCCGCAGCGCGTCGCATCGCACAGATCCCTGGGACAACGTGGTATATGCGGCAAACACATATCTCAACGACATCCTCATCACACACGAGGGTGCGCCTTCCGCCACGTGGTACTACGGATTCTACCACCCGACCCAAGTCATCCCACTCAAGGTGCTCTCCTTGTGTGTGTGTGTGTGTGTATGTATGTATGTATGTATGTGTGTGTCTGTATCTGCGTGTGTGTGTGTGTATGTGCATGCATTTGTTGGATGGATCCCTCAATCTCATGTTTGCTCTTGAACATGTGTGTGCCAGTGACGTTTCAGGCCCTCGTGCTCCTAATTCCCTTGTTATCCCCCCCCCCCTTGCACTGCTCAATCGGTCATTCTGCTCCTCTCCCTCACCAAACATCCCAACCCATTCACACACACATACACACGCGTTCACACGCGTGCGCATAGGAGAATGGGCAATTCGAGGCCTACCTTGGCATGGACAAATCCGGCACGCAGACACACTACATCACCATGTTTGTCGTTGGTTATGTTGACGCCTAAGTGCATCGACTCAAGCGTGCTGTTGCTGCCGCTGTTGCTGTTGTGTTACCTGCTGTTATCTGACGCAAGGAGTGTGTACGTTCACTCGCCCATTCTTCACTGCGCCTTCCCGTTTTGTTCCATCTGTTCATTGTGTGTGTGTGTGTGTGTGTGTGTGTGTGTGTGTGTGTGTGTATCTGTGTGTGTCTGTCTGTGCCCTCATTCGCTTCCTTCCTCCCCTCCTCATCGCTTCCTTCGTCTTACCGAATTTTATGAACGACACTGCATAAATTTCACCGTTGTCAACCGACAAGCAACAAGTTGAGCGAGTTGTTTGTGTTTGGTGTGTGTTGTTGGATGCAGACCCACCACATACATCCTTCACGCGCACACGTACACACACGTGGCCACAACAGGAGTCCACGCCCCCCCCCCCCCTCAAGGCATCAAAGGTAAGAGATGGCAAGCACGCACGCTGATACTTGATGAGCATGTGTCAGAGAGGATCCCAGAGAATGCAACAACCAGCCTCAAATGCTCACACATTCACATCACACACACACACACATGCACACACATGTACGCAACAGCACATGTGCACACCATCACCCAACGTAACTCACATGCACACGCTCCCAATGATGCCCTAGCACTATGATTACAAGACGTGGAGCGCCACGTTTGCTGCCGTGAAAGATCCAGAGACCATGAGCAGCTCCAACTACTACGACACACGCCCGAGTTTGGCAAGGCCAATCAACAACACCAGTTCCCACACAGCAGCAGCGCCACCCACGCGCCTGTATCCCTTGCATCGTAACACTAGCAGCCACGCCAGCATCCACAACGCCTCAACCACCCGCGGTAGCAGCAGCAGCAAGACGCGAATCACCGCACATTCAGGGACATACCTCGCCACCAACACATCCCCTTTGCTTCGGCAACGAAGCTCGACCACCACCCGTACAAGCAGCCCGCAATCGCACGTCGTTGGACGAGCCTCTGCACTACCGACAGGGCGGCACCAGCTCACATCCATCTTGCCTTCCAAGGGTGCGGGGAGCCGACCTTCGTATCGCGTGCCATCCCAAGCATCGCCGCCCTCCACATCATCTCTGTCGTCTTCGGCCTCGAGACACCGCCTTGCAAGCCACACGCGAAACGCTGCACCACCAGCGCCAGCGTCAACAGCCATAAAGGGCCGCCCAACATCGCCATTGGGTCGCAGTGTGAGCAGAACGACAGCAACAGCTACAGCGTCAGCTACAGCTTCAACTGCAGCTACGCTTGCGACGGCTACAGCTGCGGGTGGTTCTTCAAACACAAACACAACCACCGCATCCTTGCCCTCCTCATCTTCATCATCCATACACCACCAACCGTCATTGCCACACCATTCACAACAACAACAACAACAGCAGCAGCAGCAGCAGCACCACTACGACCAACAACAGCACCACGATGATGGTGGTGTATCTGCGGCGGGGCCCGGCCTCAACACAGCCCCCGTCCGCGGGCTGCGCAACATCGGCAACACGTGCTATCTCAACTCCATCCTGCAATGCCTGGCGCACTGCCAGCCATTCCATGCCGCCGTGGCGTCAGCAGCATCGCCAGCAAAGGACGACGACGCATGCGGCAGCTCAATGCACTGTGGAAGAGGCATGACGAAGTATTCACTCGGCACGAAGCCAACAACAACGGCCATCACCAACAGCCCTGCGCGCGTGCTGGTGAAGGAAATCAAAGGTCTGCTTGCTGACATGTGGGCTGATGCATCACGCAGCGATGCACACCTGTCACCATCATCGTCCTCGTCGTCAGCATCCCCGCAATCACAGCAATCACGGCATGCGAATGCCTACTACAACTACAACAACAACAGCAGCAGCAGCAGCAACAACAATAGTATGGGCAGGCGGCATGCATCACAGCGTCGCACAAGCTCCTTCTCCACAGCCATTGCGCCCACGCGCATCAAGTCGCATCTTGGACGCGTCAACCCGGAGTTTGCCGGATTCCGACAGCAGGACGCACACGAGGCGCTCCAGTACTTGATCAACGCACTGCATGATGACATCAACTGCCCGTCGCTTCTTGTGCCGCAGCTGTCAGCTGTGGGGCGTTGTCGCGGCAGTGATGATGGTGATGGTGATGATGATGTTGATGATGATGGTGGGCTGGGCTCTGCTGACGATGCTGAGGGTGATGACGATGGTGATGTGTTTGACGGTGACAGCAACGTGGAGCACTACTCCATGACTGCCCCCACACCGTCCAATGGGGAAGATGGAAGCAGAAACAACAAAACGCAGCGCTTGGCACTGACACAGCCGCTGCCTGCAGGCAACACGTTGTCACGTGCAGGCGCACAGAAAGGTGTGTTGGTCCGTTTGATGAGAAGCAATGCGTGCTTGCGGCTGAGGTTGTTGTCATCTGAGTGCGCGTACGTACATGAGCAGGCCTTGCACAAAGTGATGCCACCACACATGTCAACGCACATGCACAACTCACTCACACTTGTACAAACCCACCCATGTATACTCACTCACACACGCACACACACGCGCACGCACACACACGCACACACACACACGCACACACACACACACACACACACACACGCACACACATATATTCACACACATTCACACATACAGCAAAGCGTGATGGCCGGCCCACATCCAACACGAGGCGGCAGGCTGGCCCGCGGTTTCGGGTGCAGCGGTGGCTGTCCGGTCGACGCGAACGGCACTCCGCAGAACCGCACAGAGACCCGCGCCAGCACCAACGCGAACCACGACACCCATCCGCCCCACCACTGGCGACAATGGCAACAGCAGCAGCGGCGTCACGTGACGATGACGAGGTCGATGTGGGTGTAAGCATTGATGGCGACGGTGCCCCTACATCGCCATCACCACCACTACCACCGTCATCAACATCAACAATGTCAGCGTCAGCGTCACGGCCACGGCCAACAACACGACGCAAAGCGGCTTCAACGGGCACAGGGTCGGATACGAAGCAGGGCAGCATCTCGCGACTGCGGGCCGTACAGCGACTGCTGCCCCGTCGGTCGCGCCCAACGTCGCACTCAACGTCGGCAGCACACGCGCCAGCACGGACAGCAGCAGCAGCAGCAGCAGCAGGTGTGCTGGCATCAGGGAACAAGGCAGGTGCTGTTGGTGGCAGTGGTGGTGGTGAGCGGAAGCGACAGCGTTCACAATCGAGGACGCCATCGGGCGGCGCAGGTGCGAGTATGGGTATAACCCATCACAGCACCCATCATCCTCATCGAAGCGACGGAGAGAGTGGCAGAAGGAATGCCATCATGCCCACAACACAGCTAACCACGCTGGAGCAACGTCGCGCGTATGTGAAAGAGCTGAGGGCGCTGATGGAGGCTGAGACGCGCCCGACAGCCAAGTTCCGCATGTGCCAGCAGCTGGCCGACGTGTTTGACCGCAGCAGCGTGTACGATGCCTTGCGCGGGTGGCTGCGGGTGCGCCGTCAATGCCTCGTGTGCAACCACACGGAGGTGCTGTTTGAGCACTTTCTCAACCTCTCCCTGCCGATTGTCGCCAACGCGCGCGCGCAGCACACGTACCGCCCCGTTAGTCGACGCCGTGTGCGTGGTGACGACGGCAACAGTGGTGGCGGTGGGGTGACGCTGCCTCCTTTGCACGACCGCCCCCTCAGCTACAAACCATCCACTTCATCTCAGCCGTCCTTGCTCGATTGCTTTGCGGCGTTCACGGCCACAGAGGTTCGTGATACATGTGTGTGTGTCTGTGTCTGTGTCTGTGTGCGTGTCAGTCTGTGTGTGTGTGTGTGTGTGTCTGTGTCTGTCTGTCTGTGTGTGTGTCTGTGTCTGTGTCTGTGTGTACCACTTGTTCCTGTGAAGGTGTGCGTCGACGTGTTTCAGTGCATGCTTGTGCCAGCACCTCTCGTCCAACTTAGGTGATCGCTCACGTGTAATTTGACCAACACCGTTTCCTTGCACTTCATTGCGTTGCCCTGTGCCGTTTTCTTGTCTGGTCTGCGCAGGAGTTGACGGGCGACAACAAGATCAGGTGTGAGCGGTGCAGGTGCAACCAGCCATCAGCACGAAGCTTTTCACTTCACCGACTCCCTCCCATCCTCATCGTCCATCTCAAACGCTTCGAGTTCATGTGCGTCACAAGACGAGGGAAGAGGGGGGGGGGAGACGGAGGGCGGGTAGAATGCACTGTTGCTGTCACATGCTTTGTGTGTGTGTGTGTGTGTGTGTGTGTGTGTGTGTGTGCTGTGCATACACGTGTGCTCCCATGTGTGTTGTGGCTTTACACAAAAGTGAAAGTAGCGCAACAGCATGCAGTTGCGTTGCGTGTCTTTGATTCGCCATCTTATCCACGTCTCACTTGCTCCTGTTTACATTAGTCAGCACCGAAGTCGCAAGATTGACTCACCTGTTCATATCCCTTTTACCCTGGACCTCGCCCCTTTTGCTTCAGAGGTTGGTCTGTGTGTGCGTGTGTGTGTGTGTGTGTGTGTGTGTGTGTGTGTGTGTGTGTGTGTGTGTGTGTGTGTGTGTGTGTGTGTGTGTGTGTGTGTGTGTGTGCATATGCGCGTGTGTGTGCATATGCGCGTGTGTCTGTCTGTGCCTGCCTGTCTATCTGTCTGCACCTGCCTGTCCGTCTGTCTGTCTGCCTCCCCTCCCCCTTCCCCTATCCTCTCCCCATTCCCTTCCCCCTTCCTCCTCCCGCCTGACCATGTACCTCATCTGGCGTCCCTGGAACTTGTCTCACTTTATCTCATTCCAATCTCCGACCTTCCGTCCCCTCCCCCCCCCCTCTCTCTCTCTCTTCAACTTTCTTCATCTTTCTTCGTGTCCTGCTTTGCTCTTTCCCAGAGCGGTGAGGGCCACGAATATGAGCTGTGCGCCGCCACCATGCATGCAGGGTCCGTGCATGGTGGACACTACACAGCACTGTGTCGCCACCCGGTCAGCAAACAGTGGTTCAACTGCAACGATGCCTCCATCTCCACCATCGACACCCCGTCCCCGTCTCGCCTTCAACACGCCTACCTCCTCTTCTACCACCGCAGCAGGAGCATGTGAGCAGCAGCAGGGCGATAGTGTTGGCGCAGAGAGAAACAGCAGTGGCGCGTGTGGTTCCAATCCTGGCGGTTGTAGAAAACCTGTAAACGATTTCCTCATTTATTCCGCAAATTACGACATCCATGTCATCGCAAACGCGTAAGCAGCAGCTTGTTGTGAATGTGGTGATGATGATCGTGGGTGGTTATGGGTGGTGGTTGTGAGTCGTCGTGCTGCCCGTGCGTATGCGCGTTCTCACTCTGTGTGTGAATGTGGTGGCTGTGTGCAGTTCAACTGTTTCTGAGCAAGTACGAGTTTATCGGAACCCATCCGGACCTTCCCAACGGTGCATTTGGCCAAGTGCTTGAGTGCGTAATTCGTGCAACCTGTGTGTGTGTGTGTCTGTCCGTCTGTCTGTCTGTCTGCCTGTCTGCCTGTCTATGTGTGTATGTCTGTGTGTGTGTGTGTCTGTCTGTCTGTATGTATGTATGTCTCTCTAAATCTCTATCTCTCTCTCCCTCTCTGTCTGTGTGTCTGGCTGTCCACATGCCGGTGCTCTCCCTTCGCCATGTCCACCTGTCTGTATCCCTGTTCACCTCGCCCCGCTCATTCTGCCCAAACACCTGCCCCACCGCTTGCTTCAATGCACAGGTGTCAACAACGAGGTCCTCGTGGAGTCCAACTCGCAAGCTCCCACCAAGAGCAAGAGCAACGTCGCAAATATGTTGTCAAGTGCATTGATTTCAACCGTCATTACCACATCTGCCAAGCGCGTGGCCATGACATGAGCAAGTGCCCCGACAAGGAGCTGCAGCGCGAGTACGATCTCCTCATGCTCGCACAGGTACGGCACACAAAGAGCGCATTTGGAATGTGCGCCAGTCGTTGCTTGCCCGACTTGTGAGGGACAACACTTGCACGCCTTTTGTTTGCCCACCCACGAATGCTCCTGCCTTCCTTGACCTGACACTGAGCTGAGTCTCACCCCCGCTTGTGTTGTGCTGTTTGCGTCCGGTTGTGCTGTTTGTGTTCCTTTCACGGCCGGACAGAGCTGCCCGTACCTCTGCAAGGTATGCTGCTGTGTTTGCTGCTGTTGATATGATGATGTGCCAGTGTTCTGTGTTTTTCCAATTGGAGCATGAACCTTTGCATGCAGCATACGCTTGCTCGTTGTGACAGTTTCGCGCGTTGTATCAACTCACCGCAGCCCGTGTTTGATTGGTTTGGTTTGCTGGCTGTACATTGTTCCTCCCACATCAGTGCATTGAGGTGCTGTATGTGCCTCATGACCACATGTACATCGTCATGCCACGCTACCAAGGAGACCTCCTCAAGGTCGGTGCATGTGGACACGCCACGTGGCACGTGGGGCGGTGTAGTGGTGGAGAGCTGTGGAGTTGGTTGGTTGTGGAAAGGAGTTGAGGAAGTAGTGGGACCAGCATGGCTGCTGTATGCTCACGTTGTCACGTCGTGAATCTCTATTCTGTGTTCAGTTCATCGAAACGCACGAGCTGGCCCTGTCAGGTAAGCTCACTGCAATGCCGTGTTGTGCTTGCTTGCTCGCATGCATGCACACACATGCACACACACACACACTCTCTCTCTCTCTCGCACACACACACACACACTCTCTCTCTCTCACACACACCCACGCGCACACACACTCTCTCTCTCGTATTATTATGGCAGACCTGAAGACGCTCGCGCGGCGGCTGTTGTGCGGGCTGGCATTCCTGCAGGAGCACCACGTCATTCATCGCGATATCAAACCAGAGAACGTGCTGCTCGACGGCACCGTCCACACCGCCGTGATTGCAGACTTTGGTGCGCTCACAGATGCTGCTGATCGCGTTGTTGTTGTTCTTGTTGTTGTTGTTGTTCTTGTTGTTGTTGTTGTTCTTGTTTCGGTCTTATTTCGGTCTTGTTGTTGTTGTTGTTTGTTGCTGTTGACGATGATAATTCATGTGTCAGCAAGAGAACGATGGTGGACCTGCAACGCCGCTTGGCAATTCGCTCACCACGTGTATGCGTGTGTGTGTGTGTGTGTGTGTGTGTGTGTGTGTGTGTGTGTGTGTGTGTGTGTGTATGTGTGTGTGTGTGTGTGTGTGTGTGCTTTTAGGCTGCGGGCGACGCGTAACAGGATCGCATCCAACCGTCGGCATGGGAACACAGGTGCGGGTGTAATGCACACCGACCGTGTGTGTGCAGTTTGCAGGGCGTGTATGTTGATTGCGTATCGCCTGAAGGAACATTCACTCGTGATCACTCACACACACACCACACACCACACACACACACACACACACACACACACACACACACACATACACACACACATACACACATACACACACATACACACACCACAACGGTTTGGCGAGCAGCAATACCAGTCGCCTGAAATGATGACGGGCCAGCCATACGACCTGCACACAGATATGTGGTCGACAGGCTGCCTCCTCTACCTGGCAGCAACACGCCGCCTGCCGTTCCCAAGCTTCGAATTCGCCCTCACCCGCACCATTGATTTGGATGAAGTGGGTGATGCGTATGGTGATCGCACGTTCACACAGCTGCTCGATGCATTGCTGAGCATGCACCCGCACCACCGCCCACTCGCAGCAGATGCACTCATGCACCCCTTTGTCACGTCATCGTCGTCGTCCTAGTGATGTGCATCTGCTTGTCGCCCGTGGACACACACACACACACACACACACACACACACACACATGCATATTGGCTGCCCGTTCCTTTGTTCCTTCCTTTGTCCCATCATTTCCCGTGGTTTCGTTGACCTTGCGTTTGCACTGAGGGGAACACATGTCTACTGCCAACAATAACTCTCCAACATCCACAACAAGACAACACCACGAAACTGGAGGTTGGAAAAAAGCACCACAGGGATAGGAGGGCTCGCTTTCTTCACGACAACCACAGATACACACGCACAAACACATACACCTTGCCGTTGCAAAGGCACGCCTGATAAGAACACAAAACCGACAGCGAGGGAGCAAACCTACACCATTACAAACAACCAACACCAATCACAACAACATCAACTGCCACACACCCCCACAGGCTCTCACATAACAGTACACACAAACATCGAGCACAAGCAACAAACACAAGCTTCATGTACCCACAGAACGGAGTGCGCTCGTGCGTGTGCGTGTGTGTACGCGTGTGTATGTGTGCGTTTACTGGCCGGGCTCGCGAACGTCGTCAATCTTGAGGATCATCTTGACGAGCTGCGTTGCAAGGCTAATCTGCTGTTTCTTGCCAATCAGTGTCTCAAGCACATGCTGCTTCTTCATGTCTGCTCATCGGCAAGCAACACACGGCAACAAGCAGTGCAATCGCAATGATGAGTACAAGCAACCACCACGCTCAGCAACACACGGTTGTGCATGTGTGTGTGTGTGTGTGTGTGTGTGTGTGTGTGTGTGTGTGTGTGTGTGTGTGTGTGTGTAGTGGGGAAGCAGCTACAAATGCAAACAGAGCACCGGGGTGTAGCATCTTGTCTCACACAACCACAAGCAACAGCAAGAACAGCGCCAACACACACACACACACACACACACACACACAGGCAGGCCAAACACGACAACCGGTGCACACATACCGCTGGTGCCCTTCTGCTGGCAGTCGATGCCGATGAAGGGGTTGTTCTCCTTCACCTGCGCAGACTTGGCGTTTGCAACTGCACCAAGCACCAGATGCATAACAGTGTTGTGAGTATCAAGTTTACGCCAGTTGACATGACGTGGTGGTGCTAGTTGGGGGTGATGCGACTTGAGCTGACAAAAGCACACAAGAGAGCATCGAGCGTTTGGCAACGACAAGCAAGCGCGCTACACCGCATGTGTGTGTGTGTGTGTGTGTGTGTGTGTGTCTTACGTGATGCAATGGCGGGGAGGCCGGAGTTCTCGGCGAGGGCGAGCGGGATGGACTCAAGCGCCTCAACAAACCCGCGCATCGCATACTGCTCCAGCGACGAAATCTAACACACACACACACATACACGTACAGCAGACGCACGCGGCGGCGATACAGTTGTTACACACAAGTGGGGAGATGTGGGAAGATGCCACAGCAAGCATTGGCCATACTCGCGACCACAAACCACGTCAGCCCACATGAACACACATCAGCGCACATCGACCACAACAGCCACAACCACCACAACCATGAAACCCACCACAACCACGTGATTACAGGAGCAACAGACCTTGTCGGCCTCCTTCTGGACGGCAAGACCGCAGGCAATCTCGGCAGCGCCGCCGCCGTACACCACGCGGTTGTCGCGAATCAGGTTGCGCACAACGCAGATGGCATCGTGCAGGCTGCGCTTCGCCTCCTCCACAATCTGTACACACACACACACACACACACACACACACACACACACACACACACACACACACACACACACACGAGCAGGCGGAGGGAGGGGGTTTTGTGTCAGGGCAGGTGGAACAGGACCATTTGGGGGGGGGGGGGCAATTGGGTGTGCATGGGTGGATGCATGCGCAGGCAAGGGGGAGGCGTTCAACAGACGAACGTTGGACGAAGCAAAGGGGCGTGACAGACACAGAAACATCTCAGCACTCAAGACCGCACAAACACAAACACACAAAACATTAAATACGGCACAAAAGCAAATCAAGGCGGAGGGACGCACCATCCTGTTGCCACCGCGGACAAAGACGGTGACGGCCTTGGAGTTCTCGCACTCCTCAATCACGAGCATGGTGTCCTGGGTGGTGCCAAAGCTAATCTCGCGAACGGAGCCAGCCTTGCCCAGCTTGTCGGCGCCAAGCTCGCTGAAGCGCGGCACAATGCGGCCGTTGGTGGCAATGGCAACTAGTTCCATCTCGGGGCCGCCCACCCAGCGCACGGCAGGGAGCTCGTTCTGCAGCAGGAGGTGGTTGGGCTCGTCGTCAAAGCCCCACTGGCACAGCACAAGGTTGGCACCCGTGTCCTTCACCTGAGGTACAGCAGCGTGTCGGCGTGGTTGACGGATGAAGAAATGAGCAACGTGTGGTCCAAAACGACAGGAAAACAACGACAAAAACGTGGAACACCAAATAAACAAAGAGGCAAGTACACGAGATGCAGACACAGGCCGCATCACAGGCGACCACGCAAACACACACAATTGGAAGAGGGTCGCGTGTCAACACACCTACAGTCACACACACATATGTGTGTAGCCGAACACACACACACACCACCACCACCACCACCACCACCACAAAACACAGCCGCGAGCACCAACCTGCTTGATCATTTCCTGGAACTTCTCCTGCTCGTATGCGCGGAGCTCCTCATACGCTTGAACGCTCGTCACCTCCAGCTTGTGCGTTGTCTTGGGCTTTGGTGGCTCAAAGGGGCACGTGAGGATGGCAATCTTGGCGTCGCGCACAACCTTGGGCATCTGGGGATGGCTCATGCCCTGCACACCAAGGGAAGCAGGGGAGCGGAGGCACACAAGGACAACAGCAACAGCAGCGGTGAGTGAGTGGGCCAAAGGGATGAGAACAGTCACCACAACACGACGTGCGCACGACAGCAAAGGCACCACACGTACAACCACACGTACAACACAAACAACACAAACAAACAAACAAACAAACGAACAAACAAACAAACAAACAAACAAACAAACAAATAAACAAATAAACAAACAAGCAACACGAAGCACACAGGAAAGGAAGCAAGGAGCGTGTCGGTGGTGTGCACCTTCTCGATGATGACGCCCTTGACGAGCCGCGAGTCCTCGAGCTTGGCGCCAACCTTGCCATCAAGCTTGATCAGCTCAAAGTTGACGTCCTTCGTCTCAAAGTCCGCAACAGAGAGCACCGCATCCACAGCCATCTCCGCAAACTGGCGGTGGCACCGGTTCACGCTGCCAGAGCAAAACAAAAAAAAAAGGTGATGGGGGGTGACAATCAGGCAAGGACAAAGGGCCAAAAGCGTAACGTGAGCGGAAAAGATTCCTGCTGCTGCAGAAGAGCAACAAGATCGAATACAACCGCTACGACAACCAAAGAACAGGACAAAAGGCTCTGCGTACACCCGCTTTAAGGCAGGCACACACACACACACACGCAAACCAATACCTGCACATATTCTCGCTCACACACACCGACCTACACACGCACCCACCAACACACGCGTACACATCTACACGTGCACACTGACACACGCACACATGCGCACACATGCACACACGCGCACTCCCTCCTATTTTGAGTTCATGCATACATTTTGCTGCCGAGGGTGGTCATAGCCGTCTCGACGAGGGGCTCCTTGTTCTTGGGATCCACGGGGAAGTTCTCGCTAATCTCGTCAAGGCGGTCCAGCGCAACACGCGCAGCCATCTCATACCTGCACATGCAATCGGGAGAGGAGGCAACAATGCAAGGGGACGGGCGTGTTGTTGGACGAGCAACAGTGTACATTATGAGGCGTGCAATACAACGTGGCGACAAAGCGCTCAGGGTGAGAGCGGTACAACAGCAAAGGGCCAGTGTCATGTAAAGCGATTGGGGTGGGTATGTTGAGGTGACGCACCCATCGGCAATGCGGATGGGGTGAAGGCCCTTGTCAAGGAGAGTCTCTGCCTGCTCCAGGAGCGCGCCCGCAAGCACTGCGAAGGTGGATTTCAGGACATTGGAAAAAATGTTATCGATGCGGTGTTTTGAGTGCACACGAGCAAGAAACAGCCGCCATGCGGCCCCTCCCCAATAACTTCATCCTCCTCCCTTGGCACTACAAACAAGCATGGCCTCTCCGACATCATCAAGCGACCCCTAATGCACACCACAAGATGACACAGAACCACACTTCACATGCACACGCCCTTCCTCTCTTGACATGAACCACGCCATGGATGCACCACTACCAAGAATCAAACACCACGACCTGAAAACACAAGTGCCACACACGCCCGTGCCACACTCACCAACGACGCCAGTGGTGCCATCGCCAATCTCGTCATCCTGTGACTTGGACAGCTGCACCATCAGCTTCGCAATCTCGTGTTGGACGTCCTACCACATCAAGCGCAGCAGCAATTAAAAAAAAACAGTGGGAGGGGAAAGGCAAGGGAGCGTGCGAATGAGTGAAACAGATCCGAGACCAATCGCTCCTTCTCACAAGCGCGCGCAGGTTTGCACGGCGAGGGCCACAAAGACGTGATCGCGAACGAACCATTTTGTCGAGGATGGTGGCGCCATCGTTTGTGATTGTGACATCGCCATCTGCGCCCACGAGAAGCTTGTCCAGACCCTTGGGTCCAAGAGAGGTCCGCAAGGTGCTGGCAACGGTCTTCGCAGCAAGGATGTGTGCCTACAGCATCGCAACGATCACAGCAATTGATCGGTGACAGGCCCGCATTATGTTGTGTTGTGTTGTGTTGTTGTGTTGTGTTGTGAGTTTGAGGTGTGTTGTAGGTTGTTGAGTGTGTGCGTCTTGTGTGAATCGCCATTTGCTGGTGTCAAGACACGGCCCTTAGGCAGGATTCAAGCCCCGCTTCCCCCTTCCCATTGTGCACGAGCACATCATGTGGACCAGAGCACGGAACCACACCACAGCATATGCACAAGCACAACGTCACACATCATATCACATCACATCGCATCGCATCGCATACGCCACCTTTTGTGCCTCAAGGCCAGTGAGTCGGCGCTGCTTGTCCTGGTCGCGGATGATGATAAAGGGGCGACCGTACTCGTCAAATGTCAGCGACATGGCTGCTTTGTGGGTGGGTGGCGGCTGGTGGTGTGCGCGATGCGATGGAAGGAGGGAGGGTGCAGGTGGATGTTTGTTGGGCTGGGTTGTGGTGTGTGGCTGTCAAGACAGGTGTGAGTTGTTTTTGGCTTCCACGAGGCAAACAACACACTTCTCGTTGGTAAAAGGAAATTTTACTGAAGATTTACTCAAACCATCGCAGACCGTTCACATTAATTTGTGCTGTTGTGGACACTTCGCTCATGCCGGCGGAGGTTGCCTGCTTTTGGGAAGCCCTTGCCACAGAAGGAGCACTTGTATGGCTTCTCACCGGTGTGGGTGCGCTCGTGTTGGCGGAGGCTGTCGGCTCGTGTGAAGCCCTTACCACAGAAGGAGCACTTGCATGGCTTCTCACCGGTGTGGGTGCGCTCGTGTTTGCGGAGGGTGCCTGCTTGTGTGAAGCCCTGACCGCAGAAGGAGCACTTGTATGGCTTCTCACCGGTGTGGGTGCGCTCGTGTTGGCGGAGGTGGCCGGCTCGTGTGAAGCCCTTACCACAGAAGGAGCACTTGTGAGGGCGCGGCTTGCCATCATTTGGTGTGTGGGTGTTCTTTGGCACGCGGGCCCTGGTTGATGCTGCTGTTGCATTCGCTGCTGTTGCTGCTGTTGCTGTTGTTGTCGGTGGTGCTGACCGCGCCGTACCCTTGCTCACCTGCACCTTGTGCTCTCTTTTCTCTTGCCTGTGCTTGCCTCGCTTGACAGGCGGCAGGAACGATGCCACCACTGATGCGCGCGTACGCGGACGATTGTGAAGCTCGCTGCGGCTGCTGCGGCTGCTGCGGCGGCTGCTGGCACTGCGCTTGACGCTCTTCTTGCTGCCTTGTGAAACGGCATCCACCTGTTGCTGCTGCTGATGCTGCTGCTGCTGCTTCTTGGGCTTGACCGCCAGAGTCTTCTGCGCTGGCGTGGCTGCTGGCTTCTTGGCTGGTGGTGTTGGTTTCACGGGAAGGGCCTTGAGCCGGGCCTCGTTGATGATGCTGTCCATGAGCAGGTGCAGGATGGGCACGTTGTCAACGGTGAGCGCGTCCAGCTCCTTCTGCGTGGGCGGGGGAGGGTGCATGCGGTATCCAGGCTGGGTGGCCTCATTGGCGGTGGGGTCGAAGGCCGGGGCACCACCGCCTCTGCTGCTGGCACCTTCAGCACGGGCGACCTGCAAGTGCTTGACCGCCTGGTAGCGCCGGTACGAGGTCGGGTCGGAGAGATGCGGCAGATGCAGATCCTCCACTTCCTTACGCAGCGGCTTTGGCTTCTCCAGCGGCAGGTACGGGCGACAGCCGTCTTCGGTGCGCAGGGTGTCGGACACCAGTGCCTCTGCGCCGTGCCACACGCGAGGAACAGCCACGGGCTCGATGCTGCCACAGCTGCCCTCGCGCTGCTCCTGAAACCGCTGCAGCGCGCCCGCCACTGCTTCCGGGGACAAGCGAGAGGGCTGCGACGTGCTGCCCTCGCCAAGATCATCAGGACTGTGACCAACCTCGGCCGCGAGCACTGCCCTGACATCGTCTTCCGTCTCCTGAGGCAGGATGTCCTCCAACAGGATGGCATCGTGCAGTGCCTCTTCGCTGTCGTACGGGTGCTGCGGCGACGACAGCATCAGCTCTTCGTCCAGGATGTTGCAGTCGTCCTCGTCCTCATCCTCGCCATGGACATGGGCATCAACAGCACCGCGCTGTGTGTGCTCACGGCGCACGCAGCCAACGGAGCTGGTTGCCGCATCGTCGTCATCGTCGTCATCGTCATCGTAACCAACGAGGTTCTGGTCGAGCAGCTGCTCGTCGTCGTCCTGCACGTTTGCGCCAGTCTCCTGGGCCCACTGCTCCCATCGCCATTGCACGAGGGCGAGGTACTCATCAAGGTCGGCCTGCTCCTTGTCTTCGTCCGTGCGCTCCGGCACAGAATCTTCGGCAGCTTCGGCAGCTTCGGCAGCATTGGCGGCATCGGCGGATTGACCTTTTGGCGCGGTCTGACGCAGGCCTGAGCCGGCGTCCGCGGTGCCGCCATCGTCTTGCTCTCCCTCGATGGCGGGCCAGTGCAGCGTTGCTGGCTTGCGCTTGGGGCCGAAAAGGGAGCGACGGACCCCACTGCGCCACCGATGACGCGATGCTCCGGGCACATCGGGGATGGCGGTGATGCGGGTCTCTCGCTCGGGCGTCGTTTCCCGGTCGTCGAACGTGATGGGCTTGTGCGTGAGTGGTGTTGCGGCGTCCATGCTTGGTCCAGTATGGTCTTGTGTGCATGGCAATTCATGACAACCAAAGCGAGCATGCCCAAGCGTGTGAGAACATGACTCCAATACATAAGTGTGAACAAGACAGCTGTTGTTGCAACAATTTGTTGTTGTAGGAGACGCTGTTCAAGGTGCAGGTGTAGTTGAAGGTGTTGTTGTTGTTGTTGTTGTTGTGAAAGGAGGGCTGAGCAAGCGTGTCTCCCTCGAATCCTCAAGAGTAGACAGGGCGCCCAAACACAGAAACACGCATTGGCTCATCAATAAGGCGCGGTCGGGAGGCATACAAGCCACAACACTTGAGTGCATATGCCACGGCACATGTTCAAGCAACGAGAGTGCCATTCCTATGCTATGCACGGAGGCCACTCAAGCACTCACCACGGGCGACACGGTGCCCATCGACTTACTCGGGAATTGGCGGGAAGATGCCTAGATGCAGTGGATGTGAAGAATGCTGTGTACCGCAGGTCTGGTAGAGTACGTGCTATTGCTACTGTAATACTGTGTGGTGTGACGGGGATTCAAAGAGCAGCGATTCGACATGTGCGCGAGGAAGGAAGAAGGAAATTGACGGCGCGCAAAGCACAACCAACAGTCAATGCATCAGCAGTGCAAGAAGGTTAGGAGAGACGCGCTCTCGGTGCCCCTGCCTTCAACTCCTCACCTTTTGTGTCGAGTAGATGTGTGTGTGTGTGTGTGTGTGTGTGTGTGTGTGTGTGTCTGTGTGTGTGTGTGTGTGGTTTAAGAGCGCTTGTTTCGCGCCATTGCTCTTGGAGTGAAGCCAGCGACTGGGGCTTCTTCCTTTCTTCTCGCTCTCTCCCTCTCTCGTTGTGACATTTGAAGCACATGTCTCGCCTGGCACAACACTAACCACTCATGATGAGTACAAAAGCAAAAGCCAAGCAAGAGCAGCATGACAACAAGCCAAAGCGTGTGGGCCATCATCCCCTCGGTGAATCACAAAACAAGTAAGGACGTTGAGGTTTGTGCAGCTTGTATGAAATCACGCTTCCTGCTTTTCCCGCCAAAACTACACGCACACACCAGCAATAATACTACGAGAAAAACACGCCCATTTCTGTGTGTAATGGCACGGCAGCGCGGGAAGTACAACGTCTCACTGGCAGTGTTTCACTTTTTCTGTAATGATTGTATTGCATGCACGTGCCAGCAGAACAAAGAGGCACCAACAACGCAGAGAAGGAAGCAAGCACGCACGAGAACACTTGAAGCGTGCTTGTGTGCGGGCGAGAATTACACGACACCCTTGGCCTTTTTGTAAAGTGCATCCACAACAAGGTTGGTCTGCGCAATCGTGTCCAGTGTCTTCTGATACCTGCGACATGAAACAAAACAAAAGGGCGGGGGGGGGGGGGCGTGTATGAGAGAGAGTGTGTGTGTCGAGGAGGGGAGGGGAAAAGGCAGTGCAGCGCAAACAGACACGAATCAAGGGAGAGCAACGGACAGTCAGTCAAACAACACAAACACATCACCACCACAACAACAACAACAACAACAACAACAACAACAACAACAACAACAACAACAACAACAACAACGACACACACACATACACACACACACACTACGTTTCGTTGCGCGCTTCCTCGTCAAACAGCTGGAGGCAGTTGGCACCTTGGTCCAGAATGCCGTGCAGCTTGTGGTCGAGGATCATCTGCGACAGTTTCTGCTCGACAGCATCCACCGGCAGGTCAATCAGCTCTGCCAGGTGGTCAATCTGACAAACACGTGCCGGCAGCAGGCACGAGCGTGAGCCGCACCACGAAACACACGCACATGCATGCAAACATGGATAGATAGATAGATAGATAGATAGATAGATAAAGAGAGAGAGAGAGAGAGAGAGAGAGAGAGAGAGAGAGAGAGAGAGAGAGAGAGAGAGAGAGAGAGAGAGACAGACAGAGAGAGAGAGAGAGAGAGACAGAGAGAGAGAGACAGAGAGAGAGACAGAGAGAGAGAGACAGAGAGAGAAAGCGCACAAGCCCCCCCCACTCACACAGCCATACACGAAAGTAGAGAGATTGCCTGAGGCAAAGAGCGCACCTCGACGCGGGAAAAGGGCTCCACAAGGCGCATGAGGTTCTGCTCCAACAGGGAATCATACAGCTCCGTCACGTGGTTCTGCACAACAAAGTCCTCCTTGAGCTCCTGCTCACGGCAGACAGCATACGCACCCGCGGTCCATGTGGCTCGTGAGTACGCACGGAGGTACGAGCAGGAATGAAAAGAGAGCAAACACGGGGTTCGTGTGGAGGCAGACACCACTGCCACTCACCCACGCCCACGCCCACACATAAGGGCATGGGCGGTGGATGTACCTTTGCAAAATCTGTCATGGCCTGTTGAAAGTCGGCGAGGGAGCGGTTGAGGCTTGCAGAGGCAACGGCCTGCATGGCATCAAGTTCCCGACCTGCGAGGGAGAGGGGGTGGGGGAGAGGACGCGCGCGTGTGTATGTGTGTGGGTGGAGGGGGAAGGGGTTGCAAGTAGACGATGGCGGGAAGGAAAAAACATGGCGTTGTGAGAGAGTGGCCAGACAGGATGATGGACATGTGCATACAATGCAGCATTCCCTCGGCACTTCGTCTGCATTGTAAGTTGCACACACACACATGTGTGTGTGTGTGTGTGTGTGCACATCCACACATACGCGCACACATGTGCATGAACAACTACCCCCTCCCCTTCCCACCCACCCAACCACACACTCGGCGTGCATACCAGAGTACTTGAGGGCGAGTTTGCCTGTGATGATGGCGGGGATGTCTGCCGCCTCCTCGAGGAGAATCTTGGCCAGCAGCATGTACTTGAGACTGCGCAGGGCAGCCTGGGGCACATCCACAGAGTCAAAGCCCTGAAAAAAACGGGAGATGCAGGTCCACCAGAGTGTGGTTGTGAGCGTAGCACGCAAGGCACCGCCAAGCACAAGCCACACTAGACGGGCAGCAAGACGGATGGAAGAGAGGGGGAGAGGCAGACACAGACGAGCAGCCATGCACAACAAACCTCAAAGGCTTCATAGAGGTAGGAGTACGCTGTCTTGAAGTCGGCCTCTTGTGCATGAAGAACACCTGCTCAGCACGACAAACACACACACACACACATACACACACGCACACACACACACACACACACACACACACACACACACACAAACACACGGAACGAAAGGGCGAGGAAGTGAGGAAGATACAACAGAGCACACCATAATAACGTGATGGGAACACCAGTGCATGTGCGTTTTCATGTGACGCACAGCTGAGCACGCACCCGATTGGAGGTCGAGGGAGGCCTGCATGCGTGGCGGACAGTAGATGGAGTTGGCAATGGTTCGCGCAGCAACCAGCGCAGCACTGCACACGTGCAGTATGTTGCGTGCGTGTGTGTGTGTGTCTTGTGTGTGAGAGGAAGGTGTGGAACACAAGGCCATGCAGGGAAGGAGGGCAAATTAAATGCCAAGCAGACAGGGATCCAGGCATCACATCGCGGCCACCGCCGCCGCCGCTGCTGGGTACGTACCGGGCCTTTGGGTAGTTTGAGAGGAAGAAGTATGCCTTGCTCTCCATGAGGTGCACCTCCATGAGCAGCTGCCTGTCGTCAAGGCGCTTGAGCTCCCGCAGGAGCGGGCGGATCTGTGTCAAGCACTCCTGGTACTCGCCCGCCTCCAGGTGCAGCGAGATGAGACGAACCTGCAGCCACAGCGACACATGGCACGCAGCGTGTGTTGGATGTGAGTGAATGTGTGTGTGTGTGTGTGAACATGTTGGTGACTCGCTTTCAGGAAGAACAGACACAGGGCAAGCAAAGGGCAAGGAAAGGACCAGAGGGAAGTACAAGGGCGGACAAATACAAGGGCAGGCAAGCACAACTGCACGCACACAGCTAACAGACAGACAATCGCACAGTGCTCCCAACCCCTCCCACACCCACCCACACACCCACACCCACCACCCACACCCACACACCCACCCCCACACCCACACCCACACCCACACCCACACCCACACACGCACCTCGAGAGCTTGGCGAAGGAAAGTGCGCTTGCTGTCCTTGGCCCATGAGATGCAGTCCTTGCACATGGCAACCTTCTGCTCATACACATTCCCCCAACGCATGATCATGCATGTCAGGGATCAAGCCAGGCCAACATGCCACAAGTCACATCACAAAGCGAAAAATACCACAGCAGCATCACGCACGCCGTTGGCGCACGCACCTCGTCCGCGGTGGCATTGGTGAGGTCGACAAAGCGATCGATAATCTGTTTGAACAGCTTTCCGCCCTTTGCCTTGCTGACGACGTTGAGAAACGGCTTGATGGCATCAATCAGCCGCCTCAAGCCTGCGTCAGGGAGCATTGGTGGGAATGAAAAGGTCGGTCAGAGTGGGGCTGAAGGATGACGGTTGGCCTGGACGCAGGGCATGGGCAAAAAAAGAGCAGACGAGGACTTGCATACATGTATGCATGCAACGGACATGCACGTAAAATCTTCAACTGCACGCACGCACACGCACACGCACACACGCACACGCACGCACACACACACACACACACACACACACACACACACACACACACGCACACGCTGACGCTGACGCAGACACGCTCACGCAGACACAGACACACACAGAGGTGCAGCCGTTTTATACATGCTGTACCGTCTGCGTCGGCGGCTTTGTAGAGCTGTTCGCAGAGGTTGGAAATGGCCGTTTCCTTTGCCTTGACCGCCTTCTTGTCCTTGACATCAATGTCCTCCGTCACTGTTCGGGCAGCACCATGAACAAACGGCACAAGCGTCGAAAGGTGTGTGCGTGGGTGTGCGCGTGCGTGCGTGTGTTTTGTGTTGCAACAAGCACAAGCGTCAGCACACTGTGCACACAAGGAGCAACACAAGGAGCAACACAAGGAGCAACACAAGGAGCAACACAAGGAGCAACACAAGGAGAAACATCACGTTCCCTTCCACACATCAACACACAACATGAACATGCGCATGCACACGCACACGCATCACTCACACCCACACATCACACATCAACAACTCAAACTCTCTCTCATTCACAAACAAACAAACACACCCTTTGGCCAGAGCTCCTCGGCAGAGGTTGCGGTCTCTGTAGCGTACGCAACGCCCTCGGGACCCGTGTCCATCGCTTCCGCCATGATCTCAAGGCTGGCTGGCTGGTGATGCTCTCACGTCAACAAGTTTGGTTTTGGTCGGTTGTTGGTTGCTTCTTCGTTGTTCGTCGGCTGGCTGGCTGGTGGATGGTTTGTCGTCAGTTTCTCTACTACAGTTTATGATGTTTTTGACTGCGGGTTCAGTGGCCGGTTGCAGCTTTTTGGCGTATCTTTCTGTGAAATTGCAGACCTTGATGTATGTTTCGCACACAAGTGCATGTGAATGCGCACACGGTGGATACGCTTCTGCCGCTGCCACCCGCCACACGTGTGTGTGGCTGTGCGCCTTTGCTCATTCAACCCACCACCCACACTGCACACACACACACACACATCTGGACCTGTGAAGATGGATCGAGCCACACGCGAGGAGCGCACGGAGGCGGCCGTCCCCAACGTCTTTGCTGGCGATGAGGAGGATGTGGAGACCGCAAGTAAGCCTTAATTGCAGGGAACGAGAGGAGGAGGAGGAGGAGGAGGAAGAAGAAATCATGTGCGGGAGCTGGAGTGGGAGTGTATGTCGTGCTCTGAACACACATGGACAACGCAGAAGGGTCGTTGCATGTTCAATCCTCTGTGATTTCCACAGCAGACACACACTCACACACACACACACTCACACACACTCACTCACTCACTCACTCACTCACTCACTCACTCACTTACTCACTTGCTGTCTTGTTTGTGGTCTTCCCTCTCCCTTTGCTTGCCGTGTATTGTATTGTATGCAAGACGTCCCAAAGACGCTGCGCGAGATCACCCATGAGGAAGTGGCACAGTTCATCACCTCGCTCCACGAGAGCATCATGGCCGAGGTCAGTGGACAGTGCTTTCCAGCAGCAAACCAAGCCTTCCTTTGCTTTTGATTCTTGCTTGACTGGCTTCTCCTTTTCAGTCTCCCTCCCTTGTATCTACCTCTTGTTAGTGTCACTGCTGATGTATTCCTGACGCCTTACTTTTCCTTACCTATTTTTCCTCGTTAACTCGCACCCTCTTTGATCTTTCCCCTTTCCCTCTTTTCCTTCCCCTCATTCCCCTCCCTTTGTGAAACAAGTACTAATCCATTCCTGTCGTTAATTGAGTGACTGCGGATGGTTCGCTTTCTTGTGAAATCAATTTGGAGCAATTATCCTAGAGGCCTGCGCTTGATTCCCCGTGCCATGTCCTCTTGGAACGCTTCAAGACATATACCATTTTCTTTTCTGCCCCTTCCCCTTTCCACCCCTGTCTGCACCCCTCATTCAGCCCCTCTTCTTTTTGTTGTTCCGCTTGCCCACCTCTCCCTTTTTTGTGGGGGGGGGGTACACCGACGACCATCTGCGTTCTTACCCGATGACACCATCCTCATCTCATCACACACACACACACACACCCTCTGCGTGACACCAGGATGTTGACCGCATTCGCTCCCTCTACGAGCGGCACTACCGCCGTCTCTCCGACAAGTCAGTGCAGCACAGCCCCTCTTCCCGATGGCGTGATGATTGTCTCTTTGCTTTCAAGGGCTGGTGGTTTTACTCAACACCCCACAGGCTCTTGTCTTCTTTCTCACACTTCGAGTTCACGCTGCTTCCTTGTTCTAGGTACTTCAAGGAGAAGACGTGGCCAGAGCCGCAGAAGGTGGCCAAGATCATCGACGAGGGCCTGTTTCAGATCCTCTACCGCGAGCTCTTCTACCGTCACATCTTCATCAAGCTGCGCAAGCCCGTGCTTGCTGACCGCCACAGCGCATACGAGAACTACATTTCCCTCTTCACATTCATCCTCGGTGCGTGTTGATCGCAGTGTGGGTGGTGTTCTTGTTGTTTGTTTGTTCCCAACACCTTTACTTGGTTTTGTTGCTTTGGTGGTACCTTCCATGACCATCAATGGGCCACGTCAGGCCTCGTGCCTGCTGTCCACGCGCCGGCGTCATTGTTGTTTTTTTCAATGTGCACCGCTCCGCTCATCGCCTGGTACGTGCACTCTGGTCTGCGTCTCCATTTGTTGACATTTGCAGATGCGGATGCGCCGGTCCCATTTGAGCTCCCCGATCAGTGGCTGTGGGATATCATTGACGAGTTTGTGTACCAGGTGCGGAGCAGCCAAACACGCCGTCAGTGTATGCAAGTTTGCATGCTTGGTCATCCCCGCTTGTTCTTCTGCATGTGCTGTTGCGCCCTGCACGTCTGTGATGGACTTGTCTTAAACTGCGTTATCGTCCTGAACAGCATGGGCAGTTTGCTGCCTGTGCACAGTTGTTGAAACACTACATAGACCCTGAGACGTGTGCGCCCTCGGTGCTCTTTCCGATGTTCTGTTGCTCCGCCATATTTCTCTTCCATCTGCCACCCCCTTTCGGTCACTCCATGACTCGATGGCCACCCTCTCACGTTGTGCGTGTGTGTTGCTGTTGTTGCCGTGTTTTGTTCACCTTTTGTGCCTGCGTGATCATGGTGACAGTTTGAGGGCTTTGTGCAGCACAAGGGTTACAAAGCGCACAAGCAGGCGTATCCAGAGGACTGGGACGTCAAGGTTGTGTTCAACGTTCTGCACCAGCTCATCACCCGCTCGAGAATAAACGAGCAACTGGAGGTACGCTAAGGTGTTTGATTTTGCTTCTGATGATTTTTGTCGTTCTTGGTGGCAAGAGAGCATGCGTGAAGCCCCTTCACTTGCCCTGCCTGCCACCTTGTGGTCACACTGGTTTGTCTTGTTACGAATTTTGTTGCCGCGCACTGACGCCGTTTTGTTTTGGCGCTGCGTGGTCATAGGCCTTCCAACGGGGCGACAACCCCGCGGACGTCGCCGACGAGTTTGGCAACCACCCGCTCTACCGCATGCTTGGCTACTTCAGCCTGGTTGGCTCGCTCAGATTGCACACACTCATGGGTAAGCGGCTGCGACCGTTGTTTGCCGTTCTTATTCAGCAACTGCTGCTCGTTTGCGGAATTGGTGTCGCATGCTCCTCGTTTTTTCAATTTTTCTTTCTTTTCTTTGTGCTTCTCTCTCTCTCTCTCTCTCTCTCTCTCTCTCCTTCTCTCTCCTTCTCTCTCCTTCTCTCTCCCCCCTCTCTCCCCCTCCCTCTGTTTTTCTCTGCTATTTGTGTTACGCATCGTCCAAAGCATCGACATTGAGATGGCGTTGTACGTGAGTACTTTGCTGCCGATGACTGTTGATGAAGAAGCGATTCAACAACGATAGCCTCATCGTCCTTCGCTCGTGCCTAACCCCACGAATTCGTCATTGACAAGCTTTCATGCTTGATTGGCGATGGCCTCAGGAGGGGCGGCGACAACCCTCTTTCTCTTCATCTCCCTCTCCCTTTCTTTCCTTCCTTGACGGTCTTTCTCTTCTCCTTTCCTCTTCTCCCCCTCCCCTGTCGCATCTTGCGGACACTGACGTTTTTTGATGCGTGCGTGCGTGCGCGTGTTTTCCTCGCAGGTGATTACCGCCAGGCCCTGGAGGCCGTGCGCAACATTGACCTGAGCAAGCCCAAGCTGATCAGCAACGTGCTGACGTGCCAGGTGACCATCTACCACCAAGTTGGCTTCTGCTACCTCATGTCGCGCCGCTACCACGATGCCATTGGCCGCTTTGAGGACATTCTGTACTACACGCGGTCCACCGACACACAGAACATGTACTACAGCGACTACCACACAATCCGCAGCAAATGCGAGCACATCACAGCGCTGCTTGCGCTTGCGCACGCCATGGAGGACGGCGCCGTGAAGGACATGTACCGCGCAGAGAGCGAGAACCTGCGCAAGGCTGCTGACGGCGACGAGGAGGCTGCTGCCGCCCTCTTCAAGAAGGGCGCGCCCAAGTTTGTTGAGCCCAGCGTGATGTTTGCCTCGCTCGACGGCTCAGATGAGGTTGCTGATGCGGCGAGTGACGACACTGCGTCTTCCAGCTCGAAACTGGCCACCGACACACAGCTGCAGGTCTTCCTGCGCGACTTCCGCCGCCGCAAGAACATGGTCAACATCCGCTCCTACCTCAAGCTCTACGAATCCCTCAAAATCTCCAAGCTCGCCAGCCTCCTCGGCAAGGTGTGGGTTTGTATTCGTTTGTGTATGTGGTTTTTTGTTTGCGCAGGTTGATGTGCTTGTGTTTGTGTGTGTGTGTGTGTGTGTGTGTGTGTGTGTTTGCGTGCGGCCGGTGAGAGACCATTTTAACAATTGTTCCTCCTGAATATCTTCCTTGATGAGAACGTTTGATTTGTTCTCGATAATTCATACTTGAGGCCTGCACGCTGTGTATTTGTGTTTGTCTTTGCTGTGTCACTCGTCATTTATGCTTTCCCAGCAATTACTGTCGTCACCCTTGTTACTTGGACTCACCTTTGCTTCGTTTGTGCGTGCGTGTATGGCAGGACGAGGATGAGTTGCGGCTTCACCTGCATGCACACAAGAGGCGAACGAACCAGCTGGTTTGGTCTGCCGGCAAGCAACCACTTGCGGGCACTCGGCAGTGCGCTGACACCCTTGACTTTTACATTGACGGTGACACCATCCACGTCGCCAGCATTACGGTGCGTATGGGAATTGGTGGTGGTGGTTGCTGTTGATGATTTGTTTGTTCGCTTGTTGTTCATTGTTGTTAACTTTTGTTGTTGTTGTTGTTGTTGTTGTTTGTTGGTGCATGGGCATGTGTGATCACTTCCGCCGCGTCCTTACAAGTGCTGCGCGGCTATTCTACTCCTGTGCTTTGCTGCTGCTCAGGTTTCGCAAGGCCATGGCGAGAAGCTTCTGCAGGCAACGCAAAGGCTGATGCAAGACCCGCGCAAGGAAGCAACTCGGTTCCTCAGGACCCGAAAGTGATGCGAAAGTACAAGTGTGTGTGTGTGATGTGAGGTTGAGTGGCCGTTGTTGGGCTGTTTGACAAGTTAGTAGGTGATGGCGAGCGGTGGTTGACGTTGCGATTCGTGTCTTCCTTTTCTTCTTCCCTTGTTCCCCTCTTTTTTTCCCTTGTTCACTTGCCTCTGTACACCAGCAACACCAAGCCTCGCTTGACATAAACTGACCAACAACAGCAAACTGAACCACATATGAAGTAGTGTGTGTGTGGTTCGTTGTGATTGCTGCTAGTGGTATCCCTGCTCACCGTTTCGCCGATTGATGTGTTTGGTTGGTTTATGGTATTTGTGGCCACCGAGGAAATGGCTGTTTGACATGAGACGTGCTGTGGGACTCACACACCACGAAACGAGAAGCAAGAAGGGTTGCGTTTGCTTGTGTTTGGGTAGAAGGGAGGGAGAAGGGAGAGATGGTGTTGGCCGACCTAACAAGATGAAGGAATAAGGCTGAGTGAGGGGAAAGGAACATAGTGGGTGGTTGGGGCAGTAGCGAATGGAAGGAAGCGGCAGCAGAGAACATTGCAGCAGTACCACTCACACGAAGAACAAGGAGAAGGGGGAGGAAGAAGCACAACACACACACACACACACACACACACACACACACACACACACACACACACACACACACACACACACACACACACACGCGCGCGCGCCAAGCACCGAAGAAATCTTTCGTGACAGAGACTGACGAACGAAGCACAACAAGGAGAGAGCCCGCACGAGAACAGAGAAGCGAAAGACAAAACAGTTCAAGACACACGCTAGATTGACACGCGGGCGGGTGAACATACCGCGCACACGACAAGAAACAAACAAACGAACACACGAACACACGTGCAGAGATGGACTGCAGTGTGACAAAAGGGGGGACGGGGAGTGTACGTGTGTCAGTGGCCGAGGCGAGAGCCAATGGATTTGACTTTGCTCGCCGCCTTTGACCCCTTCATTGCCTGCAAGAACGAGCTGCTCTGTAAGTGCAAAAGCAACCCACAAGTCGTCGTTTGTGTGTGTGTGTGTGTGTGTGTGTGTGTGTGTGTGTGTGTGTGTGTGTGTGTGTGTGTGTGTGTGTGTGTGTGTGTGTGTGTGTGTGTGAGCAAGGAGGTGCTTTCTTCGATGCAGACGAAACAACGGCAAGTGTTGCCATACAAGTTAAGTTGGG